CAGATCTGCCCTACATACTAGAGAGGTTCGACATAAGGCGTCTGGTTCAGGTTCGGAAAATCAGGCATCTGGGTTGGCTGCTACGAGTAGTAGGAGATAACAATCTGGTAATAGGAAGGCGAATACAAATTCGAATTCTGTTGGTTTGAAGGATGATATATGTCATTACTGCAAGGAGAAAGGACATTGGAAATTCGATTGTCCTAAACTGAAGAAATATCAGGAAAAGAAGGAATCATCTGCTTCTGTGGCGGAAGAAACTAACTCTGATTCTGAAGATGGGTTAGCCTTAACAGTGAATGAACAGGTACATCATCAGGATATGTGGTATTTAGATACTGCAGCTGATTATCATATGTGTCCAAGCAGGAAGTGTTTTTCAACTTATGAGCAGATAGATGGAGGACATGTTTCTATGGCCAATGGTTCTATCTGTAAAATTGTTGGAAGAGGCTCCGTCAGGATGAGGACACATGATGGTTTTGTTCGCACTTTGAACAATGTTAGACATATTCCAGAGATGACTAAGAATCTGATATCTTTGAGTCTACTCGACAGCAAGGGTTTCAGTTTCAAAGGTGAAGGTGGAGTGTTGTCTGTCTACAAGGGTTCTAAGGTGATTTTGAAAGGTGTCAAGCAGGGTGCCTTGTATAGTCTACAAGGTTCTATTTTGACATGTTCTGTTGGTGATAAGTGCACCAAGCTGGTTCTGAATGGCAAGTCTCAATATGGATTGGATTTGCCGAATGGTTTGAGTTGTTGACCGCCCTTAGGGGCATTTGGAGGCAGGGGAGATTCTGTTACAACTGATTTGGAGGAATTTAGTACGTCTGGCAATTCTGATTGCATATGAGTTTGGCGATTTGCATCGCGTTTGGGTTTGGTGATCGATCACATCTGGATATCTGGCGATTACGATCGCATCTGGGTAAATTTGGCGATATGGATCGTGTCTGGTACATCTGGTATTTGAGAGAGAGAATTCAAGTCAAGGTGGAGATTGTTAGAATATGACTTGAATTTGATTTGGGTTAGTTTTGTGTTTTAGGCCTATTCTGTTTGGGTTTGGGGTTGGGTTTTGTTTTGACCTTTTCCCTGTATGTTTGGGAAAAGGTATTTGGTTTTCTGTTTGGGATTAGGAGAAGAGTTCTATAAATACTCTTCATCACCCTAGTTTGTAGTAAGGTCAGTCGGGTTAGTTTGTTTGGTTTGTCCGTTTGGAATTTGGTTTGTAACCTGTACTCTCCTCAAATTAGTGAAATTTGTCCCCCCTGCCCGTGGATTAGCTAGCACACATTGTGTTAGTGAACCACGTTAAATTTGTGTTCGTTCGTGTTGGTCTGAATTATCGATTGCACGCTTCTGTTCTGACACACTTTATAATCTCATTCATCCTCATAATTTTTATCTTACTTCTGTCATGGTATAAGCTTAATTACATGCACGAGTTTCGTTTCCGATGTGCACAACGCCCTGGCAAGTTTCATATTTCACACTTTGTTTTTTTCTGTTTTCAAACTTCACATGATCTCATCGATCAGTTTAATTACGATATATCTTATCATCCAAGACCTAACGATGTCATCGTAAATGACCAGTTAAATCGAAATTACAGAGAATGAGTCTACTCCATTACCAGCAGATATTCACACACACCGTCTTTAACACGTCATAGGGAACTAAACAACATAGCACATAAACTTATTGGTTGAAACAACATGGTAACCATAGGGATTAGAAATTGATAAAAAGGTTATATGGAGTACTCTACACCCTTGTCTCCCCTTTTAAATACTTAAATCAGTTTCCCCCTCTCCCATCACCACCACCACAAGCCATCATCATTCCTTCATACATCCCATGTTCCTTATTCCCCCCACTCCCCAAAACATAATTAGCCCCAAACCCTATTCCCTTAATCCCTAATCACACTCATCATTACACCACATGGAGAGGCTCAACAATCACAATTATAACAAAAACCCACCGCCGCCGTTGATGGTCATCAGCCGGAAGAAGCTCCAGTCCATCCTCCGCTGCGCCATGGTGATGATCCGAAAGGGCGTCTCCAACTCCAAGACCAAGCTCGCCCTAGACCTCCACCTCATCATCCAACGTGGCAAGGACCTCGTGACTCAGCACCAAATCTCCCCTCCCGCGGGCTGCCGCCCCGACGACCCGGAAGCCTCCTTCCTGTCCCCCATCAGCTGCGGCGCCGGCCACGTGGACGTCCGCCTATCCTACGTGTCCCCACGCGACTACCAGTTCAGCTGCTGCAGCAACAGCCCTTCCTCCGCCGCCGCCCGCCGCAGGCGCCCCCCGCCGCCGCGGAAGCCCTACCGCTACAACCACCACTACAGGCAGACGCCACAGGCGAGGTATTATAACCATGGTGACGTGGACGGCCGCGGGTTTGAGGTGGCGGAGTCGTGTGCCGCCACGTCGACGGTGGGAGGGTGTTCTTCGGCGTTGTCGTCGGGGGAAGGGTCGTGGAGCCCGTTGGTGAGGGAGGTGAGGATCACGGACTCGCCGTTCTCGTCGATGCGAGGTGGCGGTACTGCTGGCGCGGGACACGTGGAGGGCCACGTGGACACGGAGGCGGAGAGGTTCATTCAGAGGTTCTACACGGATCTGAGGCTGCAGAAGTGGATGGCTGCGGCTGGTTATCACGAACAGAAACAACCAACGTATTAGCATGTCCATAATGGTATTTACTGAATTAACCCTGAGAAGATGATCCGATGGCTGAGAACGCGCAGGAGAAGGCGATCCAACGGGTGTCATGAATCGAGCTCTAGTGCTTCTTTTCAGTAATTTTTTTTTTTTACTTCCTTGTACTGTACTTTGTATTGTGTAATTTTCTCTTTGCTTTCTTGTTCCTGATCTTCCCCTCTCTATATATGTATCGGTGTTCCTGGGTCTTTTTTTTCTTCTGTATGGAACGACACCGGATCTGGTTTGATCATTGTAAATACTTTTGTAGCAATTGGAACCAAATTAAACATGTGTATATCATACGAGTGCTTATATCTGCCTGCCTTTGTCAACAGCAACAACCGAGTTCGTAAAAACAAAAACACGAGTTCGTCCAAAATATGCAAGCTGTGTAATAGCACAGCCGGTTTAATCAAAATCGAATCTTACATTGCTCTTTCACGTGCTTCTTAAAATGAAAAATTGAAAATTGTACGATCCGTTGATCTTTCAATCAAAAATTTTCTTATATTTACAGTTAAGAACATACCCTCCTTTGCTCCAATAACTAAAGCTTTTGTGTGTGTGGGGGGGGGGGGGGGGGGGGGGGGGGGAATGAAAACATTTTGCTTTATTACTACAACCCTAACTGCAAGGGGGAAAATAAAACGTAACTTGAACAAAACTTCATCTTGTCTCAAATTATCGATATCTTATCACCAAACTTCATATTCTTATGTGATCACATTATGTACATAAATAGGGATGCCAATTACTTATTAATAAAGACTTATGAGCAAAGATAATTGTCACGTATAAATTCAATAGATATGATATATAGCTCACTTAATTGTAGTAGTGAATAAGTATCAGAATGAACGAATACACATAAGCTTAAGTAAAATTGTTATCGACTTATCGCAATCATAACTATCCATAATCCACGCCTACTCTACTCTAAAACGACCCAATTTGGGGAATTGGCTGATAGATGCTAGATATAGGAAAAAATAACGAGCAACAGAACCAAGATAGATCTAGAATGGTCAAAACAGGACTTGGGTGATCATTGGGAAATTATGTTTTCTTTTTAGGGCAGCCTTTCTTGGCCAGTTAGGCTAAGAAAGAAAAATTAACGTAATTAAGTTGAAAACTATCAGTATATTAAGACCATCACTCTGCAAGCTAACTGTAGCTATAATCATTGCTACGACTTTAGGGCATATTTGCCAGTATGAGTGTTTGAGGGTAGCAGTTAACTTTGAAGATTAACGACTAACCCAATGATAATGACATTGATTGTGTCTCGTATCAGAAAATCGGTCTATTTAAGTATATCTGTGCGAAATAGTATGCAAGAATATATACAGTTGCCTTCTATGACTTAGGATTTGCCGATTTGGGGTAGGCCTAGGGTTAATTTTCAATCTCAAAAGGAAAATGGACTAAACAAATGCATCATTTCAAGTGAATTTGGTTGGCATTTCATGGGGATTGGCGTAAGAACGTTTTTTATATCGTCGGATATATTGTAAGAAGTATGATCCAATGGAATGTTTTGACTTTTTTTTTATATCGTGGAAAGCACATCCTAATTTTTAGTGGTGCATTTCATTTGTCTTCATTTCTTTTACGACGCTTTGTGTTAAACCCGTAAAAAACATAGGTATAAAAAATTCTATAAATCATATATACGATGAATTTTATTTCGTAGACGTCAAAAATGTATTCAATATTTTATCGTTGTTTCTGAATTTTTTAACTACAACAATCAGTAATTTATAATGTCTTGTAACATACTTTGTCATATATTGTAATTAATTTATTACATGTATTGGGTCCTTACTAGCAAAAATTCAAATAATTACGACACTGATAACCATGTTGGAATTTTGTGAGATCCACATATGAGCTCTTCTAATGAGTTAAAAAAATTAATATTTGAACTCTTGTGATAGACATCGTGAATTTTAATGTTATGTTATTCATAAGTGTTTCAAGTTTCAACTTATTTTAGTGACAAAAAAACTCTTTCATCGATGTTGGTTTGCTATTGGCTATTCGAAAAACCTTCATCCAAGCCATCCGGTAAACATTCTACATAGCATCCTTATTAGAGGGAAAATGCTCCTTTTTGTGACTTAAGGGGGAAAATCTTAAAAAGTAAAGGGTAGCACAAGATCTGATCCACTTATACGTATAGTCAATCGGCTAAAGAAAAGACGTTTCCAGTCACTAACCGACTCTAACGAAGCAATGATTACGCTTTGCATTATATACTGCACGCCTTAATTAAATATACATGGCTGGAACATGCTTCCCACAACATGGTCAAAGAAAGGTCTAAAGTAACCTAAACGTCACTAGACCATCTATGTGATCGTGTCTTGCTCACAACGGTTTGATTTCTCAAGTCGATAATAGTTGCAGTTGATAGCAACTATGGATGCTTCGACAGGACGACAGAGAAGAGGAGGAAGGCGAATCATACAAGCCTAAGTTAGAACCACCATCTTCAGGTTCGAAATTCGAAGTTACGATTACACCTGCTTCGGATTTGCTGTTGTCAACTCATGATTTACTCTGGACCTGAAAACCAAGAGAACAAACCGCATATAGTACCTGCATTTCTCCGATCGTTGGGACTAGTTGTGAATACATAATTTACATCTGCTCTTGCAAATAGAGTACACAAAGTTGAGCAAGTTCCGATGGTTTCGACTGCACTCGGGACATCCCAAAACCATAGGGATGGACTGACAAACAACTCCGCCTTCTGTGGCGAAGAGCATGGAAGCCTAAGACATGAGCCTCTGAGAATGAAAGCTGAGAGCTCACTGGAGAAGTCACACTGCAATTCCGACAGAACATCAACAATGGAGCAGGGACCTGTGCACAGACCCTCGAAACAAAGGCCTGTTCTGTTGTTCACCAGCTTTGTATGGAGTTTCTAGGTGAAATGCAATTCATCTCAAACCCAATGGAATGTGAGAAGGTTCACTAGCTCGCGAGAGTTTAGGTCGCGCGACTGTAAGAATGTGCACCTGAGCTCCTGGATGCTAACCAATTGGCAACAGTATGATTTTGCCTATGCAAGTTGTCAACACCATAATTCCAAGTCATGAAAAATCCTGAGACCTGATGGGATTCAACAAAATTTCAGCTGTTCAAGAGACAGTTCTGCCGTAGCAAATAGAGGCGATGTAGAGGTTCTTTGCCCATTTCTCCTGGAAGAAAAGAGGAAGATAGATGTAAATAAAACCAGTGTCAGGAAGAAACACATAGAAACCACGAATTATAACAAACGAATAGACCTTGACATGTGTAGTTGGGAAAGCAGACGTTCTAAGGGTCTCTTGAGTTTCATCAGCTGGTTTTCTACGTGGGACACTAAGAACAAAGGCAGCTTGGTCCCGAGTTGCAGCAGTTGAGGTTATACGGTAACCACTATCCCACCTGTGGTGAATACCCTCACTAGGATAAAGAAAATCCAATTCAATGACCTACAAGTGAAAACGACATTCAGAACAACCATACTGTTCACCAATAGGGGAATCTATAAACAGCAAATCATAGAAAACCACAAGACCTGAGCCGAAAACCCTGCACCACGAGACATAACAATAGCCCATCTACTTCCAGCAGTGGCCATGGCAGTGACATAGAATCCCTCTCGCCATTTCTTATTAATCCACTTGGAAGGAAACGAATCACTAACTTTATAAGACTGTTGTAAGAATTGTGTACCTGTTCCAATAAGCCGTATGTGTTAGTAAAAGGCATCAGAACCCTTCAAAAATGAAGCAGCTAAAGCTATGCTACTCACCCTTGGACATCACAACCAACGAGCTGCCATTATTAGCTCCTGCAACTGCACTGATGTAGTAATTTTTCTCCCACTGTTCCACAATCCATTCCTTTGGGGCAAAGGTATCAAACCAGTTATTGCAGTGAAAAATTTAAAGAACCAGGCCTAAGTTCCGACATCCATTGCAGCATTACATTGCTCGTTAAATATTTCCATCATAAACTTAATACTGAAAACCAACCTTGTCCAGAAACTGAGGAGAAAGCTTGTAAACTTGGGCAGTGAACCCAGTGCCAGCATCCATAATGAGGGCCCATAGATTTGAGCATGAAGCGACACTGCTTATAAACAGCCCATCTTCATTTCCTTTGTCTACGTGCTGGGAGAGTCTTGCATCAGCGACATTATAGTGATACCTGCAACAAGCTCAAAGAATTAATTACTTGTCTTGTGAACATCAGAGTTAGTGCCACAATTTTTTAAGGAAAACCTTTGTTTCATGGGTCGGCGAGCATTGTAGATACTGATCCACTGTGTTGCAGGCATTCCCATTCGGATCTTTTTATTTGGTTGTCCATCTTCCTCCTCCATTGTCAATCGTCCCCTCTTGTGTCCAACCTGATATATAAGCTTCACATAACCGAATTCATAGATTAATACATGAAGATTCATCAAATGACGGAACATATCAAAAGAGATGACAAAAGGTACCTTCTGAGCACCGTCAGTGTTAATTGGCCTAATATATGGATTTGGGTCAACAATCCCATCAAAAAGGGATATACACTTTGCATAATTTGGCTCCTCATCAAACTTCAAATTCACCACATACTCGACAAATTGTCGAAAAGGCTGAGGACAAAAGCAGCACAAAGTTTCTGGGGAAGTAGCCATCTTTTTCTTGCAAACAAGGAATCCTTTATCTTCCCCCTAAAAAAGACTAATGTTAGAGACAACAAAATTCACTGTTATTGGTGACATCATATGATTCAAAGATGCAGACCTGAAATCCTTGCCAAGGCAACCGACCACGGAGAAGGAAAACAAGAGTATAGGCCAGAGATTCCAAGTCATCTCTCCGACTACCAGTTCTACCTAAATGAGCATGAACACTGGCATACCTCATTGTTCCCCTGAATCATAGGAAGAATTAATGCACCTTAACACTGAGAGGCACAGCAAGAAATAAGGCAGTTTAGGCTGTTTATATCGAAGGAACAAAAACAAGAATTTACCTGAAAACATCAGGCCGTTGATCATACTCAACATGCAAACCAGTTGAGGTATCACGCCATTTTGTAGCTGTAAAGTTAAAACAAATGCACAGTTTTACTTGTAAGCATTTCCTTGGTCAACTTTAAGAAGACAAAGCAACTGCGTTCCAGTGCATACATCTCTTCGCACTGTGAACGTCAAGGGGGGGCAGAAGTTTGTAGTCTAACTTGGTGACACCACTGTTCCCCATTTTGAAATGATCATCAAGCAGAGTCAATTCACAGAAAGAACTATTTCGAACATAGAATGCAGACTACCAGTAGAGAAAAGTATAGAACTTACCCAGACCAAGGTCAACAAGATATAACTTCCTCTCATCAGGAGTTTCTGGAGGCCCCAACAAAAAATTCTCAGGTTTTACGTCTCCATGAACATATCTGCAAAACCAGCATAACAAATTTGGAAAAGCTATCCCAACCAGCAGCCAAACTAAACAGCATTGTGTTCTAAGTCGCCAGACTCGACCTTCAAAATCAAAATACAGGCAAGGTCCCTATATCATGGATCAAGTAGGATATTATATCAATCCCAACCGAACCAATGAATCCAAGCCAAATCCACAAGAGAACAGGCAAGTTCACATAAGCAATGAAAAAATGTCAGTCAAATCGAAAGCATTACCCTCTAGAGTGCACCTTCTCCAGAATGGAGATGGCTTCAATGGCAATGCAGGCAACCATCTCAATCGACATCCTGAAATACAAACCTAATGGGTTAGCATAATGAGAATTCCCAAACGACAAACTCCATTGTAAGGGAAAAAGACATGAACTTCCAACTCCAAAACGAGTTCTTTACGTTTGTGAATTATTATTCCAAACATCCCACAAGCTCGGACCAAGCATGTCCATGACCTGCAGCAAACACGGGCTCCATTTTCACCATCCCTGTATATCAAAATGCTAATCATCTCATGAACACAAGCAGTCAAGCGCAACCAACATACCATAACATAGTAGTCACCCTGACGGCCTTTGAAATGGACTCGTGGCACGCCATGGCTACCTCCAAGTGCACTATCAGCATTACCAGAGGGTCAAGGGGTTAATAAGTTCATCAAATCACATCCACAATCGTTCACACTAACAGAACATACTACGAAGGAACTACAAGGAACTCACTTGTAAACTTGCCACTCGTACGGTGGACCATAATTGCATCCTTTGCTGCTTCTATGCTCAAACTTCAACGCCACCTGAAATTCAGAGACCAAATATAAGCCCGGCCGAAGGGTGTCCGTACAAAAGTTGCAGGACAGCTTCAAAGTTCAAACATGGGAAATGCACACACCTCTACTGCACCAGGGCCAGCACCAATTCGTCTACCGACGAAGACTTGTCCAAACCCTCCTTTCCCAAGCTTTCTATCTATTCTGTACGTTGGGGAACCACCAACAGTCACCTGTGAAGCAAAGTGAAGCTTATAAGCTTACAATGCAATGGCAATTTTTCGAAGACTCCCACAACGCTACAAGCAAAATGGCGCGGGCAGAGAGAAACCAACCTTTTCAGGCAAAGGAGCTGTGCTTCCCTCGTCCTCTGGCTCGGGCCTTTTCCCACTGTCGTACTCATCCATCTTTTTAAAAACTCCAGACTCGCAAGATTTTGATTCTCATAAAAAAAACAGCGATCCTGTTTGTGTTAGATTCCTCTGCGATTATGGTGTCATTCGAATCCACTTCGAGCTCAATCCATTCGGCAGAGGTAACTGAAACGGCCGATTTCTGGGGTGACCGAGTTCGCTGCTCAGGGATCGTATGAGCGAAGATGACGGTGGTGCCACGCTTCCAGCAAGAAAGAGAACGTTCATCGAGGGTCGGGAAGTTATCGGTGAAGATTGGATTGAAGAAGTAAGGCAGGAAGATGGACAAAAGGGGAGGGGAGAGAAAGTTCTAGATGGGAAATCTAAGGGAGGAATGGAGGATATTTATAGCATGGTTTGTGAGACCGTACTCTAGCAATGGTTCAACCGCAAAATACCAATATTAAGACTAAATCGGTAGACGATAATTAGTTGTATTAACCGTTGAACTACGATTTTATCATAGGTATCAAGACTGTAGCCACATTGATTGTCTTGAGAATAGGAATGGCAATGGGACAGGTCCGGGGCGGGTATCTCGATACCCATATCCATCCCGTAGCAGGTCGGGTAATTTATCATGAGGCACGAGTCGTGACAGATCGACCCATGAGTATGTAATTTATATGGAAAGCATTAAAAATATTAGTTATTTTCATTATAAGACCAAGAAACAAATCATAGTATGATAAAATGTAGTTAAACTATTGAAAAAATTGAGATTTTCACTAATTACAACTTTATAATAGTTAAAATATGATGTAGTAAAAGAACAATCGTAAGTAATTTAACTAAAATTACATGTAATCTAGAACAGGTCAAGAATGGGGCGAGTCAGGACAGGTAGGGTCTATGAGAATACCCATGCCCGGCAGGTCGAACCTACTCCAAAACAGATCGGACCTATCGCGTCGAAATTGTCATCACTAGTCTCAATGCATCACGAGTGAAACTCCCAGCGAGCAAGAATGATGGCCATTAGCACCAATTTTTGTAAAACAGTACCAGAGATCACATTGTCGATACAAAAACTCCAGACTAGTAAAAGACCTGACCAGTATAACGGGTACAGCGGACCAGTCCTGTACAATATTAACAAGCACTAGCTAAGCAGCAAAATAAGTTGTGCATCAGTTTGATGCAGCCAGGAGACCCGTGCCTTCGGCGACATCTGATAAAACTGGTACCGGGACACCAGGCAGAAAGCTACTGGCGACAGTTTCTCCCCCCAAAGCCTCAATAGTTTTGGCCATCTACATTCTGCTATGCGCAACCATGAAGTTCTCTAGACTCTGAACAAAGTCCCTACTGCGCAGACTACAGTCAAATTTCAACAAGCGGGGAGGTAATGCCAGCTTCCCATTTACTGAAAGCATCAAAAGGAGGAAACAAAAGCTTTTCATTTTTCACAGGTATTCTGTTGGATGGCATATATGACTACTATACACTTGAGAGAGGTCTGGCTTCGCTCCCCATAGCTTCTCTTGATTCTTGCGTCAAGGTGTTGGGCGATAACAGAGTCTTCTAAGACGAACTCTTTCCTGGCAACAACAGCAAAAGAACCAATTCCAGAGTCAGCAACAACCCAAATATTAACAAGCCCCGCTCCCCCTCGGGGCGGGCGCTGAAATGTAACTACCGGGGAAGAACAACGATCGAGATTCTGACCTCCACGTTGTCATGATTGTACCGTATCTTGAAAATGCACCTGCAGCCCCTTATATCATGCAGTTTCCTCTGAATTTCGGTCACATGAGCATCGTAATACATCGCATAATCCTTCCTCTCCTGATAACATAGTCAGAGGCAAATTGGCAAATGGTTGTCTTGGTTATAGCTAGTTACTTGAGCAAGAACTCAGACTTAAAAGCCGAAACAAACACATTTTATCAATCTATTTCTTTTATAGTATTAATCTATTTTTTTAAAAAGAACCATTTATAATGAACCCTACAAATAACTCTAGCTGGAAATCTGCCACTATATAAATTTCATTTCTACCTTCCTATGAAATATGAACTTATACTTCATACTCATAGCATTCATTTTACTATTATATATACCATCCACTACTTCATCTATTACTCTTTCATTACTAGCTAAGACATCTCATCAGCTTTAATTTCTCTAACATCCAACCATACAAAACCACACAAGACTTGGGCGATACTGGCAAGCAATTTCGCCACTCACCTGAAAGCAGCATACTACATCCCCAACATTCACCGAATGGCATTCTGAAGGATCCACGGGAACAGACCGTTGTCTGACTGCCTCTCTTACATTTACCCATTCGTCCTCCTCTGCCCCAAATCCTTCAAATCTGACACGAACTTCCTTCAACATGTTATAAAATGCATATCAGTTGATCTGTCCAAGCGCTAATAGTGTTATGTTGATGCTTTCTACCATGCTTGTTGAAATGACATTGATGTGTTTGTTTCAGCTACAAAATAACTAGAGTTAAAAGCTAAAACAAACCCCAAAAAAATCCAACTTTCTAGAACTGCTAGTCATGGTACTTGTAGACTCCACACCACCAAATTTACATTTTTACTTAATGCTACAAAATACATATCAATTCTTAAGAGTTATATACTCACACTTTTTTCATAACCTACTCATTTATTTATCATCGAACAAACTATCTGTCATTACAACAATTACTTTTTTATTACTACAAAATATTTCATTACTCATCAATTTAAGTTTTCCTGAAACTTTATCAACATTCAACACACTCTTTCTTTACTTTCACGGATACATAAAAAGAAGTTAATTATTTAGAAAAACTTAAACAAACACAGCTCATAATATTGAGTTTTGATTGCCCTTTCACTATTAAAAATCAAAGGGAACTAACATGGAAAAAAACTCAGTCATACTAACACAACTTACAAGGTCTCCTGATGGTAGTTTTCTGTTGCAAAGGAACAACTCAACATCATACCTGGAAAGAGGGGGAAAAGCATTGAACTTAAATTCCAGATATATAGCAACACTTGACACTTTGTGGTGCATTTGTACTCCACACTTTGTTGTGCATTTGTCTAACGATGTAAGCAATAGACGCAAGCATTGAGCATTCACAAAGTGCAAAATATTCTTGACTCAACTTATAATCATTAAGTGGAGCCTAAACACATCCCCTCCACTAAAACAAACAAATAACCACACATCCTTATCGACAAGAGGTAACCAACACTTCTTATCCTTTTCACGTGGGTTACCACTCCATTGGTCCACTTGTCACATAGGTGGTGCCACATCATTGAAGTGTAGGCACAAGGATATTGTGGCATGTCTCATACCACATGGTACCTATGACATGTCATCATCTATGCCACACCAAACAACCACTTCAGCTTATTTTAGCTAGTGTGTCTAAACTCTAAACAAGAACTTAGCATCCAATTACTCTTAGGCAAGTCCATCTAAGTTGAGCTAGCAACCAACTTAATCTACATATCACATAAGGGCGCTGATCACTAAATCTTAAGCTAATGCCCCTTAATCTACATATCACATCGGCTAATGAAAAAGAGAGACCAAATAAGGAGCTATCCAACACATTGTATGCAAAAAAAGATGAAAGGTCACATGGTTGAAGAAGGACTAAGTCATTGATACCTTGCTACTAAGCAAGACAGATGTTACCAATACCATGAGTGAGTTGATACTTGTGTTATTAACAAGGTTGCTATCAAATACCAACACACTATTTCTTGACTAGGGACATGCTAGATTGAGCTACATGTCATTGTTAATAACTTGCTACTAAGCAAGAAAGATGTGACCAATACCATGAGAATGAGTGGATACTTGTGTTATTAACAAGGTTGCTATCAAATACCAGCACACTATTTCTTGACTAGGTGAACTAAATAAATAATAATCCTTCTAATGCATAAAACACATCATAATGACCCAAGGAAAATGTACAAAAAACATTTTTAATTACTAAAGAACTCTATTGGAAAATTTCATAGAAAGTTTCAAGTCTTGTCCAAGTGAGTGTATCATCAATTATATCTCTATAGTGTCAATACTGAAAATAATCTCATCCCACCACATATCATACTCTGTTCCGCTTACCAAGCACCATCTTTTGATGACTTTGCTTCAAATTGTATGGTCGACCGATCTTGCATATTTCCTGTTTGGGACAAATAGAAGTCACTTTAGCATGGAATGATAAAGATAAATTCAAAAATATCATGATTTCTCATGCAAAACCAAAATCGCAAACGAGGCTTTGTCAACTTATGGCTAATTTGGAAGAAAGATATTGATGCTATATAAAATCCTTTGCTAACTGAACTAGTAGTATACAGAATTTGGCACGATACTTTTTTTGGTTGGATAATGGAATAATGGATAACAGACATCTAGACAAAATAAGGAGCAAAACGGCAAATTCTTGAAATGCTAAATAGGACTTCACATTTCATGAGACACACCACAACTCATCTTTTACCTAAGTGAAATGTGAGATGGAGCAAAAAGAAACATGGAAGATTGGTTGTATTAAATTTGTTTGGATGCTATGACAATATTCTGATTTTGTTAGACCACTCTAACCACAAGTTCAAAAGTAAACACCAATAATTTGGAACACAGAAGCACTAATAAGTATTAGGAAATACGATGAAGATGCAATCCTCATTGTCATTTCATTCTTAGAGTCCTAGTCTGATGTGATGCTTACTAGTTTATTAGCTTCCCATATTCTTGAAGAAGTTATTAACTGTAACTTTATGTTTACTAGTTTATTAGCTTCCAATATTCATGAACAAATTAATAACAATGTCTTCCCGGGTTGAGCAAGCAATTAAGGACTATGCTAGGATTATAGTTACTTCAAAGTTCTATTGAAGGATACTTATCTCTCGGCAAAGAATAGTAGAAAAATTGATCATTCCTTATGCAGAAGATTCTCCAAATCTGAAGCTCTAAATCTTCAATTGGAGAGCACAAACTACCTAGTTTCTAGAGTCTTGAGGACAACAATGATGCAAGCAAGGTGCTATTATTGCTATCCTAATTGTTCTTCAAATAGCATTGGCCAATCACATGAATAGTAATTCAACAATCGGATGTGCATGCAATTATGGACAAACTAAACACCTATATTTTCTAATAGTACCTTTTAGATATCATAACGAAGGAGTTTTCATTGATTTAGTCAAATAATCTTACAAATGAGATAATTAGTTGTAGTTTTGCTACAAATCCAAAATAATTAGTGTTAGGGGTGTAGTCTTGTGTGTATGGGTTTATATTGCATGAATGTGAACTCTACCCTCTCGGTGGACTAAGGCAACTAAGTAGTGGGATCCAAAGAGTTTGAAAGCTTCAATTTGGGAGTTTAAGTTGCATGAAAATGAGCTTTAGTTGCCTAAATGAAAGGATTATTATTGCATTAATGATGAGTTGTATAGGGGTCTCCACAATATCAAGTTCAGGTGTCAATTGCATCTTAATTCAACTCTAGGGGAATTCAACCATAAGCAACTTCTCATATCTTGTGATTCTCCACTAGTTTAGTTTTCCTTATTTCTTTGTTTAAATTAGATTAGTTAGTATTCAAATTATACCACTTTGCTTGGCTAGATAGAAATTTAAGCCCAAGAAATACGACCTTGTGCCACTATACTACTTACTTAACTTCTAAACCCCAAGAAATACGACCTTGTGCCACTATGCTAGCTTATCTAAGGTACACTTGCCTTCCCTAAGCAAAATAGCTCGTTGAAACCAAGTTTCTTTGCAGAGAGTTCAATACTAAGAAAGTTTTATCTCTGTATTGCACAAGTTGAAGTATCCAACTATTCTTCCCTACACTACGCTTTGATCCGCACAGTTTAGTTCTACCTTATCCTTTACACTATAAGTTGGAGCACCTCACAAAGCTGAATTTTATTTCATGGCTTCCACATCAACAAAAGGTTGCAATACATTGCAAACAGACACTAACGAAGGAAGTGTAATGTAACCCAATCCAAAGAGCTTAAGAAATGGAGAACCTGTATCCTTTTTGGAGGTACCATTAGACTCATTCGCAGGACTAGGCCCTGGCAACATTGAACCATCTTTCGAAGCACCAGTTTCGGAGCAAAGTGGTGGTGTGATGCCTTGTTGCCTCTTCCGGAACCAACTCTCTACCTGGATATAACCATCATCAAACAAGTCAAAATAATTAGAGATGCAAACCAAAGAACAAGAGGTGTTAAACCAAAAAGAAGCTTTACAATCTCAAGCTTTAGTAGATTTTACACCTCGGTCCATTTCACAACTGGTTTACCCGCCCGCCCAGAAGATTGGCTGAAAGGGAAGATAAAAACAGGGGTTAGATCCAGAACCAAGTATTGAAATTCGTTCACAGCATTTAGTTTAACGCTAATTAAATCAAATCAATAGTCGGTTGCTGAATTTCAATGTACAGTTCACAAAAGAGCAACTCACTTGAAACCTCTAGCAAGATTTTTAAAGAACTTTGTGTTTAGAGGTTGGACCGAATCATCCAACAACTTCTCCATCTTCTCGGACTGTGCCCCCATGGATGCGAAAGAGACAGATCAATTGTGCATGCAAATGAAAGCAAGAAAGGAAGCTGACAATCGAAGTGCTAAACTGAGAGCCATCGCAATTTGGCGTAAGCGAGGATAGGCAAAGTACCTCGGCCTTGGTGAAGCCAGAGAAAACCAGCTTCGGACGAAGCCGAGACATGGATGACGATGGACGACTGCTCTCTGACTCTGACAATTCGAAATTGAAAGGAACGAACCCTAGCTTCTCAGTTTCTGGCTTGCTGCCGGGAACTCTACTCCGCTGCGCCTCTTTTTGGGGTGGTTATTGGAGAAGCTGCTGGAAGTGAAGGAGTTACGCAGACACAAACAGAAGCGCAGACGCGATTAGAGAGAGTTGAAGTTTGAATTCTTTGAAGAAAACGGGAGATTGGCACAATCTGGTTTATGTTTTGAGCGCCATTCCTTTTTGGCCGGTGAAGCGGGAGGGCCTTTCGCTTTGGGCCCAGAATTATTCCACGTACGCCGGCCTCCTTCTGTCAAACCATCCTATGCGGTAAGGGCCTAAGGGGTCAGTCATCACTCTTACTTTCTGCAGACTGCAGCGGCAGAGGGTTTTCTTTTTATGAATGCAGCGGCAGTAGTGATGGCAATTTCAACTCGCCCCGCGGGTATTATTCGACCTGATCCGCGATGGGTGGGTATTACCCGACCCGTAGTAGCGTGGGGTGGGGCATGGGTATCTACTTCCGACCCGCCCTGCCTCGCCCCGCCCCGTTCTAGACTCATTTTATCTGAATTTCTTACAATATCTATACATATTTCTCCTATTTTAACTTTTCTTCAACTAGTTACAGTCGATCTTTCAACTTGTTAGTCTCAATTATCCATTCTATAATTAATATTTTTCATTTTTAAAGTGTTTTTCTCTACGTTTTATTGTAAAAAGTAAAATTTACTTGTATTTTTTTTGAACAACATGTAAGAGTGGGTCGACCCGTCCCGCCCCGTACCCGCACGGATTTTACCCGCCCCGACCCGTGGTAGCGTGGGGCGGGGCATGGGAATTGAGGTACCCGCCCCGCCCCATTGCCATCACTAAGCGGCAGAGGGTTAATGATGACTTCATGTATAGATTTTGAGCTAATTGTCTTGTTTAAGAAAAAATTAAATAATTTAAATTTTTTTAGGGGGTAAATTGTAGGTTTGGTCACTAGTTATTAAAAAATCCACATTTGATTACATTTATGATCACTAAAATTAGTTCAATCGTTCAACTTTTGTGACTAGGTTAAGTTTATCTGTTGTGACCGTCAAATTTTATAGTTGACGGCTAAACGAGTGACGTGACAATAAAAAATAACTAATAAGTAAATTTTAAACTTTTATAATATTATAGTCTTTCATAGAAACCCATTATGTTCAATTCATACCACTCCCAATAATCAAAATTTTATTTTTGATTTGATGAACGTAGGACAAATTAGAAATAGGTCAGAATCTGGAAACAAGAGCGCTTGGCCTCTACATTACTTAGAAGACCTAAGGTAGGGAGGGGGTCTTACTTCACTAACAAGCAAGATACCAAAAGTGTCACGTACGAAAGAACAAACTTTTGGGAGAACAAATAAGGTGAATCAAGGCATGATTAGGAACTTAAACAATCGACATTGTTGAATACTTCATAATAATAATAGAGTTATATGCCCTAGAAAATTTCAATATCCATTCCAGTACAGGCTTCAACGATAAGTCCTGTAGAGAGGGCTGTACATGCAGCTCTCAGCGTGCTTCACCAGATCCTTTGGCCTGGGCAGGCGGGAGGCCAGACCTAGCTGATAAGCCTTATCAGCAACCTTTGCAGCAATATTTGCTGATATCTTCCTTATGTTGGTAAATGGTGGGTATATCAGTCCCTTCTTGAAATGCTCATCTTCTACCTGCACTGCCAAAGCTTCCGCTGTTCCAGAAACCACAGCAGCATATGAGAAGACCAGGCCAATGACTGGACATCAGATGAGGATTATGGTGTTTGGATGAAACTTACAGGCTGCTAAGAGCAAGTCATCGTGGACACGGATCGCCCCAGACATGATCAGCCCGAGACCAAACCCGGGGAATATGTATGCATTGTTTGCCTGTCCTGGCACCATCAGTGTGCCATTGTACTCAACCGGGTCGAATGGACTTCCACTAGCAAAGATGGCACGACCCTGCACTCACTCACTCACACAATGGTCAGTTCTCCATATTCCTTAACCTGGATTCTCCTATCCTTGTCTCACAATGTAGATGATGAATGATATGTTGTGGTTTACCTGGCTCCATGTGTATGCTTCCTCGGCTGTACATTCCGACTGAGACGTTGGATTTGAGAGGGCCAGGATCAGTGGTTTCTGCACTTCAACAGACATTCGATCAGTTTTTTTGTCAAAACAAGGATTTTGGTTTATTCCAGGACGGCAGCTTTACCTCATTGAAGGAGGCCATTGCCTCAACCACCTCCTTAGTGAATGTTCTACCAGCTCCAGATGATCCTATCAAAACTGTTGGCTTGATTGCCTAAAACAACATTTGCATAAAGAAAACGGGATTATATCAGAAGCTGCTGACTAATTTCTCAGATGGTAAGAGATTACAGTATTTTTTTTACACACCTTAACAGCATCTAGGAGGTTCTTCACAGGTTCATGGTCATGAGCCCAGGGCTTCTTAAAATGCTGAAGGGACTCCTTGCGAGAACTAACAATGAGCCCCTTTGAATCCACAAGCCAAATCTTCTTACGGGTCTCTTCTACCGGAGCTTTCGTCTGGGAAACCAATAAGATCGTAAGTTTAGCCTTTTGGAAGACGAATTAAACTCGCAAATAGTTCAACAGTTAGATCATTGAAAAGGAAAACGAAGGTCACCTGCTTGGAAATTTCCAGTGCTATAAGCTCAGCTATGCCAGTACCAGCCTGCAAGTGACCTCAAACTTGTAAAGAGTTGAGAAATGAGAAGAACGAAGAAACAAAAACTGTCTGCAAGCTCACCTCGCCAGCTCCCAGGAAGAGGAACTTATGGTCTGCTAAGGTTCCACCAACCAACTTGAGAGCCGCAATTAGCCCTGCCAGAACTACAGATGCCGTGCCCTGGAAGAAATGATCAGAAATATAAGATCAGAAGAACATGCAATTTTGATCTGCTAATGACTCAAAGCTTCAGTGTCGCTAAAACTACTCACCTGAATATCATCATTGAAAACAAGATGGCTCCGAGTGTACTTCTCTAGAAGGTCGAATGCATTGTGATTTGCAAAGTCTTCAAACTACAAAAAGAAGTTTACTTAGTAAGATATTAAAAATGTTAAGTATCCGTGATACTGCTCCTGCCAAACTAAATCAATGTCTTTACCTGTACCAAGACTTTCTCCCCGTAATTTTGCTTAACTGCAGTCATGAACTCTTCCAGAAGTTCAGCATATTCCTAAATCACATAAGAAATTTCAGAAAGATGATACTGAGTTTGCAATGACTGAAGAAGAAGAGATGCATAGGCAGCATTTCAGACCTGTCCTGTTGCCCTCCTTTGTTTAAGACCAATGTAGAACTCATCATTCAACAGCTTCTCATTGTTCGTACCAACATCAATTGTGATTGGCAGGCACTGTAAACAGAAGCGATGTTCAGTAATTTCACTAATCAGGTACAAGAATCTGGACTATTATAGCAAAAGCTTACTGCTGATGGACGGATTCCTCCCAGTGCTGTATACAGAGAAAGCTTCCCAACGGGAATTCCCATTCCCTGAAACATTTTGACACAAGCAAATGATATGAAAAGTGGAAGAAAGTAAAATGCAGGAAATGGAAGAAAGTAAAATGCAGGAAATGAATGGCTTATGGAATAAGTAATCAACTCGTTACCTGGCAGCCAAGGTCCCCAAGCCCAAGAATCCGCTCACCGTCAGTAACAACAATGACTTGAATGTTCCTCTCTGGCCAGTTCTTAAGTACTTCAAGAATCTTTCCCCTGAAAAAACCCGAAAACAGAAAACCAATCTCAGCCCTCTTAACAACATGAACAAGGCCAGAACTCGAGAGGCAACTCTGATAAGCCACACGTACTTCTCTTTCAAGCTGATATAAAGCCCCTGGGGACGCCTGAAAATGCTGCCATACTTCTGGCAAGCCTCCCCAACAGTGGGAGTATACACAACTGGCAGAAGCTCTTCCACATTATCAATCAGAAGCTTGTAGAACAACCTTTCATTCCTCTCCTGAAGATCCATCATGGCCATGTATCTCTGGAGAGGAACTTCGAACTGACGAAGGTTGTGCATCAACCTTTTTTCCTAATCATCACAAGTTACAACATTGAAAGAGCCGAATCAGCAGCAAGTTAAAATAAATCTCATGGAGCTGAGTTTAATGAACTTTTGAACCTGAAGTTCCTGAGTGAATATGGCTGGGGGAAGAAGACCTCTCAGGTAATGAGCATCCCTCTCTTTCTCTGTGAATGCTGTCCCTTTGTTGTGCCTTGGATCCCTCATCAAATTATAACCACTGCCAGATTATCATCAAACAAGGTGAATAAAAAGTTAAAAACCCAGTGTGGATTTGGGGTGTAAAATTAAAACCATGGCAAGATGTAAAATCATCCCCACAAAGACTGGAGCTTTTTTCACTCCTCCAGAGATCATTCAGTTTAGTGATATTAGTGTGTATAACTAATGTACAAACACGATTAAGTTCGAAGTTATGTTGGGATCTGGTGCATTAGTGGGTCTGTGATCACAACTAAAGACTATAGCATCTTTGATAGCCTGTGATTGGGATGCTTGGGGAAGAAAGATTCTTTCCACCTGAATCAAGCAAAGATAAAAATGCCAGAAAAAGATCCCAAACTTCCTATCCAAACTGACATTTTCAAGAATGTATCCTATCTTAATTCTTAACTTGAGCAAATCAAGGGAACATAACTGGAGTGGAGAACAGTATATCATTAAACAATTAAACAACCCAAGGCATTGCAGTAAAATACAGAAGACCACACAAAATAAATTAATCGCATGGAAACAGAAAAGACGATCAAACTATTTGTTTAATGTTGTTTGTTTGTTACCTAGCAATGGAGACAGCCCAAGGGGTTAGGAACTGCTCCTCCGTGGCGAAATCCTCACCATACACGTCCTCAACACCACCACCACCGCCGACGGCGCCATTGACGATCTTCTCCGTCGAATCACCGCCGTCATTCACAACATTCGCCATTTTCCTCTCAGTAATCAAACCCCAACGACTCTTCCTCTCTCTACCAACACCCTGAACGACCCTTCTCTGCAAATCCACCAAAGATCAAAGCTTTACGGTAAAAAAACAATGAGAGAGTGAAAAGAGTCGTGCTTGGTGAAGCTGAGAATGAAAGAAGAGAAACCCGAAGCCGTCCTTTTTATAGGCAAGGACCCCGAAAAGTCATTTCTCTCATACAATGCGGGATAGTTGAAACTTTGGGGAACGTTTGAAACTTTGATTTCAATGTCAAGATAGAAAGAGAGAGACGAACGAAGACCGGCCACGTGCGCAGTCATGGTTGGAAAGGAAACCAGAGAGGGTGAAATAACGTTTTAGTGGGTACCAGAAAATGTCTCTGGAGTGAACTCATGGGATTGCAGCCGAGAGGCGAGAACGTAAGAATGAGTCAGCTAGAGAGAGAAAGAAAGAAACAGAGGAACAGAGTGAGAAAGAAGTCTAGTTGAGCAATGAATTCTCCCTTTTCAGCTTTTGGCTACCACGCGGTTTGGAATGAATTGTGGGTACGATACGAACCTTGAAATCAAAGGAAAGAAAGGGGAAAATATTGGTTGGGTTGGTTGATGGTGAAGCCGTTCCGTTCCCATATGGGGAAATTTCAACAGGCTGGAGGACGATGCAATGGTGAATGGTCGGTCCTTTTTGGTTTTGATCCACCAAATCTACCTAATTACTTGGGGATAGATTTTTTACCAATTATGAAAAACTGTTGGTGATTTGCGGACACCAGAATTTCTATACAAAAGATTTTGGATTTTGCTACGGTGACATGCATGTCACCGTGACATGGACTTTTCGGTCGACCTAATCCACAAGGCGGTCGATCGAATTGACAAATTCAGTTATGTGAGGTTCAGAGACGCGGTCGACCGTCTACATAAAATGGTCGATCTTTTTGGTGGTATAACATAATGAAAGGTCGACCCAAATACCTCATAGGCCGACCCTTGTGCACCTATCAGGTCGACCTCATTAGTAAGAGGTCGCCCGCATGCACACTGTATCCGTATTGGATAAGGATTCCAACAGCAGAAAGGTTCCACAATTGGACAAGAAAACGAATTGGGTCGACCCATTCACGTCCCAAATCTCTATAAATACGAATATAAGTCCCATTCAACGCCACCAAAAGTCTGAATTATGATTTTTTTCGATTTAGAGCCTTTGTGAAGAAGATTGTTCGCGGTTGTTGTTATACGTGTCGAAAGTGGTCAACCACGTCTAAGGTGAGGTCGACCTAATGTAGCGTTCGCCGTCATCTTCTCTAATGCGTGATTTCCACCGAAAATAACAACTTAAACTAAGTGTGGTCGACCAGGTGGTCGTTGAGGTCGACCACAATGCTTTCTCGTGCTGCCCAAATTAGTCAATTCGGTCGACCGCCTTCAGGATTAGGTCGACCGAAAAGTCCATGTCACGGTGACATGCATGTCATAGTAGGCATACCCAAAGATTTTATGTGACTAATTTGGTTTGTGTTTTTTTTTCCAACTTTGTATGGAATGGTTATCAAAGAGGAGTTTTATAAGGTGTTTAGGTTTATAATGATGGAAAGTTAAATTACAGTATGAGAATGGAGGAAACTAGATTCTTATTGAGCTATTGAGTTACTTGAGAGTGTTGATTGGAGCGATCACCAGAATATAACGATTATTTATCGATTTTCATGAGTTGTTGGATAGAGATCGGAAGATTTTATCATTCTCATTTTTATGAAAATTCAATAAGAGTGTGGGTTATCTAACTAGTCGATGACACATACTCTTGATGGCTTGAATATTTAATTGTGTTGTTCATATGTTACTTTGTAACTGGACAATGTATGATTGTGAGGAGCTATCCGAACTTTCATTGATTATGAGTGAAGAATGTTCAGAATAGGGTGTGTTATATCCAAATACCAAAAGGGCATGATTAGTGAGCTTTAAACTTTTATCTTTTTACTAGCACCGGGCCCGGCCCCTTGGCCGGGAAAGTCTAGACAAAAAATATGTTCATATAACATGCTTACAATATAATAGGAAGATACGACATATCACTGAAAAAAGAAATATAATTGTTCAAAGAAGAAAAGAAAAACATACAAAATAATAGGTTTTCAATACTTAAAAATGGCAAATAGTTCAAGATTAGAGTTGTTTTTCCTAAAACATACATAATGAACCCTCAGAAGGAAAGAAAAAGATTGGTCTCTAACAGATTTTAGGAATGAGATCATTTGTAACCCTAATTAATGTCTAACAGATACACCCATATTATTCCTCTTCATAGAAAGTAGAATAAGGATCAGCTGGTTTGGAAGCATGCTAGTCGTAGTCCCCGAAGATGCCTAGAAAATAGTCCGGGTTCTCAAGAGAGCTTCAAACTTAAGGCTGAGTGCAACTAATTTTGAATTACATATGTTTGTCTTTGTCAGTGTTGCTGATACTTTCACTGACTACTTTGATTGGTAAGTTGACCATAAATAATAGGGATATACCTTATTTTGACCTTGAAGTTTGTCGTAAAAGCCAAACTTGACATGAACTTGCAAATAAGACAGTTTTCAAAATTTTGAAAGAAATGGACAAATTTGGACTGAAATTTATGTTGTTCGTTAATATTAAAAGTTAAAAATTTCTTCATCCATTCAACATACAATGCTCAGGTGGTTGCGATTGCGATGTGGCTTCCATGTCATAGGGATGATACCTTATTTTGGCATGAACTTGATGTAAAAGACAATTTTGGCTCGAATTTTCAAATAAGATAGGTTTGTTTGCACTTTGAAAGAAATGAACAAATTTGGTCCGAAATTTGGGTTGACCTTTAATATTGACAGTTGTGATAGAGAGGTTTCGGTTGCGATGTGGCTTCCAAGTCATTTATTTATAAAGTCTAAAAAAGTGAATTTTTCAGAAGAAAAAAATACCACAAAATAGGACCCTTAGTATATCCTAATATTTTCATATTTACTTGCATAAATCATATTAAAAGGAAAAAGAAATTGATTCAGGCCCCCAAAAATCCCAAAGCACGAAACTATCTCTCTTTGTACCCCTCTCATCAATATTAACGGCAACCTAAATTTTGGGTCAAAGTTATTCATTTCTTTGAAAATTCGTACAAAACTGTCTTATTTGAAAGTGTAGGGCAAAATAGCATATTATACCTATGACGTGAAAGTCACACCACAGTCACCTTAACATTGTATGTTGAGTCATAAAAAAAAGAAATGTTTGACCCTCAATATTAATAACCGACCCAAATTTCGGGTCAAATTTGTTAATTTCTTTCAAATTCGGACAAAACTATCTTATTTGAATGTTCATGCCAAAATTGTTATTTACATCAAAGTTCAACACAAAATAGGATATTATCCCTAAATAATATAGGAGTACTAAAAATATTGGACTAATGAAGTTCAAAATGTTTCAAACAACATACAACCCTGATAAAACTGCAGTCCAACCAACTAACATTTAGAACAAATGACTTTCCAGCAGGATAACACAACTATAAGTATGGGTGGTTCTATCATATTTTGATTAAGAAAATTACATAAGGAAATGATATATAGACCTTGAATGATATACTCTGAGTATGAAAATGATGTCTAGTGGCCGGAGCTAGGGACATGGTACTATACCTTAAGCCCTTACAGATTAAAATCTAGGTCTTAATTCTATGAAGCTCATATACTAAGATCAATTTTATTAGAAACAATAATCGAAGGTCGTGTTTCATCAAAATACATCAAAAAAATTATGTGCATAATCTTAGTGTTTAGGGCAAGGATTGAAAACCCTTAACGTACCGGGGGTTCGACTAAACCAGTAGGCACTATGTAGTGTTGTGAAACGACTGAATCACGGTTAACCACAGTTTTCGCATAAAATACCCTCCTGCCGACTTTTTCGGTACAACCTCTGATGAGGTTTTATAATCCTTGGTTTAGGATCTATGATTTAAATAGTTAAGACCTAGAGTTCACTCGTCAAGGGTTAGAATATAGTGTCTCGTCTCGAAATCAGGTTAATTCAAAGTCTAGATTGCCATTTCTTACCAAGGGTATGAGTTACCTTTTGATTTTACTCAAAATATGATAGAAAACACTACACACACACATACTGGTATACTACAGGAGTATAGTATACTGGTATACTCCAAGAGTATAGTATACTCCACATGATCTAGACATTAGATGTACTTTGTTGAGCTCCAATCAATCTCAATGGTCAATTATAATTTTCCATTAAATTAAACTTTGGGTTTGAGTTTAGAGAATCGGGGCCTGGGGTTTATCCATTAGAGGTTAGGGTAGAGTATCATACCCCAAACTCGGTTAAAAATCATGGTCTAGATAGAGATATCTCACGAAGAGTACCTGAAGTATAATATACTCCAGGAGTACACCAGTCTGACCCATATATATGTGGTTGTGTGTGCACATATATATTTAATATTGTAATTTGATATGCAATATTCGAATAAATGATATTTGGATTGCGGTTTTAAGATTATCCTCCATTTATAAGATAGACTACCATTATTATTGAAGTCAAAATAAAATAATAATAAATGATAATCAAAGATCCAACACTAAAAATGCTTAAGAAAGACTTAGTGGGGTAGCTAACTGTGCTGGAAAAGTCATTTGATTTTCAGAATTTTGCCTCTTGTATGTTTTTTTTATAAATAAATGCAACAAATTTGTTTAGTCTCATTGGTTATGACTCTTGTCCTTGTTAGAAGAGACCCGGGTTCAAATCTTGACACTGATATTTTTTTCAAATAAAAAAATAAACAATTGCAATGACGAAAGTACCCTTCCTACTTTCACTCTAGTTGCAGAAAATTTGAAATGGAAGAAAGTTGAGTCATGAATCTCCATCATATATCTTATAGATTCTTTGGTTTGGATTGTTATCATAGTGTATGTTGTATCTAATTATTAATAAAAAAAAACTCATTTTGATCCCATCTCGCAAGCCTCTATGTAAGTATTTCTCGTACATATCATATCTTTAATTTGATCAATACATATTGTTCTAAATTATTGAATAAGTTGAGCATGGATACTTTAGAAAATATGAATAAGACGGTCACTAGATATGGATATATGCTATATATAACATGTGGTCCTTATTTCCTATGGGGTTTGATCACAAGTTGCTCTCACTTAAAACTACATTCAATAAGAGAATGAGAAAGAAGAGATGTAAATCATGGCCCCCTTTTTTGGGTTGGTTAGGAGAAGACTAGCTCCAAACTCCAAACCACAAATGGGAAATGGTAGGGCTAATTAACCCTTGTAGGGACTGAAGGAGTGGCCACCAGTCATTTCTCTGTACTCTCTTCTTGGGGTGGCAGTTCGGTTATTTCGGTTATAAGTTATAACCGATAATCGATTGGCCGGTTATCGGTTAACCGAAATAAACACCCCCTTATCGAAAACCGACCGAAATAAGTTTTGATTTCTCGGTTACCTCGATTATCGGTTAACCGAACCACTTTTAGGACCAAAAACGATATTGGCCAGCTTCCGATAACCGGCCGAAGTTCGGTTACTTCGATTACCGATTAGTGGATAACCAAACCGATAACCGAACTGCCACCCCTACTCCCTTCAATTGGCGTCGATTCCATTGACAATTTGCTATTGTTAAAAAGGGTAGGAAGGTGCCTTAAATGAGGGAAACTTATTTCCATTGAACCAACAGATACCTACTACGCCACAAAGCTTTCATGTCAGTCTTAATTCCACTTTGGTAGACATTGCCGTCACAATTTATTGGTTGGTTTGGACGACGTATACATAATGCCCATGAAAGCGTCTCACTATGCATCTTCTAGGCATAGACATGGACTCATAGTACATTTGCTACTGCAATCATACGATGGCAATGGTGCTAGTATGCTGCAGAATGGGCAATTATCATGTGATAATATCGTTGTATGACAAGGTCACATTTATACATAATGTTATTTGCATATGATTTTACACATGAGAACGAGTACAAAAGGTCATCCAATTTGTGCAGGACACGCTAACCAGTTACCATTGATTTGCACAGGTTGTAAGTTGTAAGATCGGAAAGTTGTTTTTGTTGCATGCTATTGAGGAAAAGGGTGCGGAGGAAGAGAAATCTCACACGGAAATTCGAATTTTGGATCTCCATACCGAAAAACGAGAGTGTACCACTAAACCAACTACTATTTCGCACGATGAGAGATATTTGAATGATAAGGGGATAACTTAATTCACACAAAATCTAGACAAAAATTATAATTACAAATGAGTCATTCAACTGTGCTATGAATTATTGGTATTTTGGGATACAAATTAAACTTTTTTTTTTATGTTAAATGGTCAAGTTTCATTTTTACCATAAATGCATTTGTTTCATAAAGAAATCTATATAAAAGTAATAGATATATACTGAATCTGTATTGTGGTCAATGCATGTATTGTAATACACATGCAATTAAAGGAAAATGATGTAATGTACTTTACATTGTTTAGGTTTGGTGATAGTCTTTTAGTATTCAACATGTTATTTTACTTTTTGTGAGAAATGTCACTTTTGTCCTTGCTTTTATGAGAACATATATATATATATAACTAGGGATATACTTGGAACAAAAAAAGAAACCCAACAATCTCCTCGAAACTATCTCAACAATATCAAGTTTTAGCAGAGATAGTACTATCACTCATTGAGTGATAGTTTCCATCACATCAAGCAAACATGTATTGTTTGTGCGGAAAATGAAAAAAAAAAGATGTATTATGGAGAATACATATGTTTGAGCCTAACTGAGTGTAGGAGTGAGACTCGGGGAAGAAGGGGTGAGGAGAGTAAGCAATATGAATCTTTCGTTTGTGAGGAGATGAAGACTTGGGATAATGGGGTTTAGAGAATAAGATCTTAGATAGAGAAGTTGATATTTCCTAGTATAAGAGTCTCCAAAATGCGATCCCCCCACCTACCGAAGTAAATGCTCTATTTATACAGTGGGTGGACATTTAATGCGATATGACTACTACGTGTGTCAGACATTTAGGCCATCCCTTGGGCCATAATTATACCTAGGACTAGGATGTGACCATTCCTTCAGAGGGTGCGACGTCGTTCTTCTTGGTCTTCTTCTTCCCTCCGTATTGAGTGAAACGACGACGGCTTGAGTTAGAACAAAACGACACCGGCTCGGGCAACGCGAAACGACGCCGACCTGGTTAAGGCAGAACGACATCGTCTGATGCCTCTGATGCGCGTGGGTTCACCTATACTCGCGGGGTTCGATGTCGTGGCTTGAGTGTAGCTAAACGGCACCGTCCAGCGTCTCGGTCGCCCGCGGGCGTGATCGTCCGATGCCTCTAATGCGCGCGGGTTCACCTGTACTCACGGAAGCTTGTTGGGCAGAGCCATCTTGCTCGGCCGACTGGATCCGAGCCATATCCCCAACAACATACATTGTAACTATACCAACCAAACTATCATCAAAATCAAACGACACTTATATTTGTAAAATGGAATAGAGCCAAGCAAAATCCTCCTTTGCCTTGGGCCTTTGAGGTTCGAGTTTGCTACCTTGCGTTTACTTTGCCTGATCCAACCCAGTTAAAGAAAGAGGCTTAAAGCCCAGATAAGAGGGAGGTGTTCGTTTTATTGCTGCGAAACGGTGCTGTTTCATTAATCATTATTACGCAATTTCCTCCGATTCAACGGAAAATTAAGAAAGAAGTCACTCGGCCTTTTCCCATCGACCTTAACCCACCCAAATCCCAATACCCATCTCTGCCAGTCCTTCCACCACACCCCGGCTGCCGTCGCGGAGGCGCCGTCGATGTTTACATTTTAGTTCCAACTTACAAGTTCCACGCTTCCTTTCAGATCTCCAATATCCAACCGCAATTCCAGACTTCCCGCCTGGATGTCCCGAGTCTGAAATCTGCTGATTCCGTAGCATCAATCGAAGGAGAAGAAGGCCTCAGCATCGCCAGTCTTCATCAACTGCTCAATTATATCAGTTAGGGTAATCCCACGACCTCGTTTTTCTTCTTCTTTACTTGGGATCTCTCCGGTCTCGGCTAATTCAGTAAATCTGCACAGAAAAGTGAAATTCAACTAGGACAATTCCGTTAGTTGTTCTTGTTATGTACTACATTAGGGTGAATTCTCCAATATACAATGTATAGCCTGCTGAAACCTGTGGTTGCGGTTATGTAGAAGGTCATGGTTGTAGAAACCGGAAGGAAGAAGATGAAGAGCTTCAACGGCATGCTAGCCATGATTTGTAGCTCTTTCCTTGGGGTCTGTGCATTCACCTTCATTGCTGGATACCCAATTCCAACATTTGGGAGAATAGAGTATGGACTCATCTTCTTTTTGGCTCGGTGCACTTCCATTCTCAAGTTGGCCCATTCTCATGTATCTCACTGTTTCATTTGGCACTATCTCTTAAAGGGTTGCCAGCAATGTATTGATTCCTGGAAATGAACTGTGGAGGGAGACTCTTTCCTTGCAGGGAGGTTCTCGTCTGTATGAACTGCGGGACTTGAAATCGAACACTTGGTATGAAGTGAAGATATCTTATCCGGCTTCTGTATGTATGTAGTTTGATTGTCCCTTTGACTTGCTGATGTCCACACTATCCCCATCACGAAAAATCTTCTTTGTTTCTCCCTGGGATTGACATTCCAGATACCTGCTAGCTTCACTTTACAACTGAAGAAAGATGCTTCTGATTTGGGAATGAACTGGAATCGAAGATTACTAAACACAGAGAAATTAATTTTTAAGACTGATGAGTTTAGTGGCACACAGGTGTAGTTTTCCTACTGATCTGAATCATATTTGCTTGGTATTGTTTTATTTTTGTTCTTTTTACTGATGTGTTTCTCTCTGCTCATCAGAACCTGTTGTATGTATCGGTAACTGTAGAGCCGGAGGGGGTGGTTGCAATACGTAATGTACCAGAGAGGGAAACAATCATCTTCAACATAGGTAAATAAACTCTCTGTCAACTTATTAGTTTATTTCATACAAGTTTCTGAAATAACTTCATTGAATCTTTATCCGAATGACTGTTTAGGATTTTATCTGATTCTGAACTGTCTTCATTCTCCCGTGAAATCGTAGAAAGGTTTGGTTTTTATCCAGGCAGTAAGACTATTGAGTTCTCTTTATCTCGCTTGCTTGCTTGCATTAACCATAGCAGCTAACCTACGAGCCTAGGATTGTTCTTGTGAGATCTGCACGCTTGGTGTCTCTTCCATTAGTATGAACTCCGAAGTTGCTTGACATGGATGCCTCACTAAATAAGTCCTGCTTAAGACCACATTTTCTCCCTTTTACCTGTGATTATTTCTGCATTCCTTTCTTCCCCAATCCAACTACATCACCTTGTTTTATTTGTGTAGCTTTTTCTGTGTAGTAATCTTATGATTATTGTATTGCAGTATGCGATGAATTGTTGCTGGGTATCCCACACAAGGCTTGGTGGGTGGGAGTGTTGGTGTTGCTATGTTTAGTGGCTGCATTCATCATTCCTCGTTTGCTCCCAACACTCGTGCTGCCTGAAAAAGGAAGCTCCAGATCATCATCATACGAAGGTGTTGCCAAAGAATCTTAGGAGTAGGAAGGTTTCAGAACCGATTCAGCAGCAGGGAGGGGATGTTGGGTTGTCGAAGCTCCTTCTATGGTCATCATGGAAGCTTTTAGGTTTTGATTGTCATTGACTCATTGTTAGCATTTTTGTGCAGAACAGGAGAAAGGAAGGAGTGTCAGCCTTCTCCATGGTTGAAATGAGGGAGGATCGGTATCGTATTCAAGGTGGTGGAGTTGTGAAAGTTTTGTTGCTGCACTCTTGCAAGTCAGGGAGACATAACTAAATATATCGAGTATGTTGTATTAATAGTCCAAGTACTTCATAGGACCCAATATGAATCAAATGAGGGAAAATGTCATGGAACGAATGAAAAATATTAAAAGTGTAATAAAACTGTATCAGTTCGAGATGGCTTATTGCTAAATTCCTAACTATCATACGCTCATACTTTTATCATTTGGTCTATAATAAGTGTTTGAGCCTAGAATGTTCTAGGCGGTTTTGTGGAGAACGAGTGAAGCGTCTGTTCCAGATGATGGGGGACTCCAAACTCCTGCAAAACAAGGGTCCGTGGGCGGTCACCCCGGACACCCTCCGATGCTTAAGTTAGAGATAGAATAAGAGCTTTTAGTTTATGTTTAGAGAGAGAGTAGTTGGGTTACCATCAATGCAGATATGAATGTATTTATAGTGGGTTGGCCTGGGCTTTGGGCATTAAATGCTATTGTCAGGCGTCCTAGATCAGCCATGCTTTATCTAGACCGCCTACGCGGGCAATTAATGCTCAGTCCTGCGTTGTTCGAGGCGAGTATCCTAGGAAGATCTCGCCCTCTGCCAAGCAACGGCTCCTTGTGTTAGGCGTCCTACTGTCTGTCCATCCTAGAATGGCCGCCCTCCTTTTTTCGTTCCCCATGCCTGCTTCCTGGGCCCCTCGACGGGCCTTCCTCCTTGGGCCTCCTGTGGGCTTCCGAGCCCAACACCGCTCAGCTATGGCCCAACAATAAGTAGCTAAAAATTCTTCATTATTTACTCAAATTTTGATAATTAAGACCTCTCAATCAAACTCTCTTTCATATTGCTTTTAATCGACTCATCTTTCTTACCTATTTTTATCGTTTAAATACGGAATAGAAACACAACGGTGGCTGCTGAACAGCTCATGTGATGTGAGTATACCCCACCCGGCCCGTAGACGCTCCTCATCGAAGAGAAAACATTTTCGCTTTCATTTCATTTGAATATTTTAAGAAGAAATTTTGAAACCCTCCAAAGTGGGCCAGGTGGAACCTTTTCTTAGTCGACCGTTATAAAAATTTTGTATTCATAACATCATAGGACAGACCCCCCCGCAAGAGTAAGAACAAGAACGGAAGAAAGATCCCGGCCCCTACTTCCCCCTTTCTTCCCTTTTTAGTTCTTTCCGACTTTTTTTTTTTTTTTTTGGTTCCAGTCGATTTTGACTTTCTCCTCTCTTCCCGATTCTTCTCCAATGGCGATCGCTCCTCCTCCCGATTCCCAATCCGACCACCAGCACCAGGTAATGAAGTCAAATCCATCCCCCGTCGGGACGCCGGCGGCGGGGAAGCCTACGCAATCCTTCTTGCCTTGCCGCCGCCTCCTAGGGTTTCATTTCGCCCTTGATTTTTGCTCTCTTGATCCTCAATTCCTTAACCGCAGGCGGAAGATAAGGCGGTGGCCGCTGCATCTGGCGGAGAGAACAACCAGACGAGGAGATGGACTCTCGGCGATTTCGACATCGGGAAACCCCTCGGGCGCGGCAAATTCGGCCATGTCTACCTCGCTCGTGAAAAAAGGGTAACTATATCATAATTACAGTAGCAAAAGTGTAAATCTCATTCTACCCCGATTCGATTTCAAGATTCTGAGAGGTGGTTGTTTGTTTTTCCATGTCGATTCCGCGCAGAGCAATCACATCGTGGCCCTAAAAGTGCTGTTCAAGAGCCAGCTCCAGCAATCGCAGGTGGAGCATCAACTCCGCCGTGAAGTTGAGATCCAGAGCCACCTCCGTCACCCCAACATTCTCCGTCTCTATGGCTACTTCTACGACCAGGTTCCTCCACATTCTGGCATTTTCTTGTTTCGTTGAGCTTATCGTTAGATTTTAGGTAGCTGATGTTTGCTTTCCGTCCCCGCCATTGGAAATTGCCTGCAGAAGCGAGTCTACTTGATACTAGAGTACGCAGTCAAGGGTGAACTCTACAAAGAGCTTCAGAGATGCAAGTACTTCAGCGAGCGGCGTGCTGCCACGGTTAGAAAATCACTCTCTTCTCTACAACTCCATTTCATGGCATCATTTGCAAATTCTATTCTTTGAGAAGTTTTATCACAACCCCCGTGTTTAGTCTGACGTTTAATGTAACATGCTCCTTCTTTTCATGTGTGTATATGATGCCCAGTATGTTGCGTCATTGGCTCGAGCTCTGATATATTGCCATGGGAAACATGTCATCCACAGAGATATCAAGCCAGAGAACCTCCTGATTGGTGCCCAGGTGCTCTACCATTTCACACATTAATGTTATTATGCATCTCGGAATGATTTCAAGTGTCCGCTTTTGGGTTATAGCGAGCTTATGTGTGTTGCCACGTACTTGTTCCTCTTCTTTCTTTTTGTCAGGGGGAGCTCAAGATTGCCGATTTTGGCTGGTCTGTGCATACATTCAACAGAAGGCGAACAATGTGCGGGACATTGGACTATCTCCCACCTGAAATGGGTATGTAACCAGAATAGGACCCTTAGTTGCTACTTGCTAACCTCAACATTTGCAGCGAGTCTGATTTGGTTTGCTTGTTGTTGTGCAGTGGAAAGTGTAGAGCATGATGCTAGTGTAGATATTTGGAGCCTAGGTGTGCTGTGTTACGAGTTCCTCTACGGCACTCCTCCTTTTGAGGCTAGGGAACACTCTGACACATACCGAAGGTATGTACAAGTCTCATTCAGACTTCCGAATTGTTGCATTTCTTGTGCGCTATATGCCCCCACTTAAACCGTATGTTGCAATGATGGCAGGATTGTGCAAGTGGATCTCAAGTTTCCTTCAAAGCCTATTGTATCTGCTTCTGCAAAAGACCTAATTAGTCAGGTAAGCCACATCTCTTAGAAGTTAGAACCAGCTGTAGGTTCCATCCTAACTTGAGGTTTGTCCTTATTATCATCTGCTGCTGTCTCTTTTGCACCTGCAGATGCTTGTCAAAGATTCATTCCAGCGTCTGCCACTACACAAGCTGCTCGAACATCCATGGATTATTCAGAATGCCGATCCCTCTGGCGTTTACAAGGGTTGATAAGTGTAGATGGATGATGCTAAGTAAACTACTCCCTGAATCAATGTATGTGCTTAAAGACTCGAGCATAATCTCTTTGCAGTCACATTAGAAGAGACTGAAGGCACCAGCATGCTTTGTACTACTTACAGACTCGGTTGAACAATGACCATACCCTCTTCTTTCATTCACCCTGTTATGTACGAGGGGATGAATTGTTGCAGCGTATTATGTTAATTCATTCATTTGGCCAATATATATAGCAAAAGTATCCATCTTCTGTTGTCATTCGTGCTTGTCCAGTCTCTTTCTGGGACTAGTTGTGCTTGCCCATTCAAATGTCAAAGCGAAATGCTCCTCGACAATTTCTAAATCCTTCACCTCATCAATTCAATGAAAGAACGCATGTAATCCAACTATGACAAACATTTGTGTACATACAACTTGCTTTCCTAGCAAAAGGAAATACACAAAACTGAAAAGGGAAATGTCAGATCTCGAGTAAGTTGCGAGATGTTGTCGAACATGTTACAACTCCCATGCACCTAGTTCCCAGTTCTCCATGCCAGCAAAATTAGGGCTCATAAAAAGCTAGGCTGATTCGTCGAGGATAAAAGTCTTGCCCACATCCTGTCTGTGATCACCACCTTGTTCTGCTTCTCAGTAATGCGCTGCAAGCCAGGAAATGAACTGTCAACGACATGCCCAGAAAATCTTCCAAGAGTCCCCTGTGTATCATTTCATTCCAATTCTACTGGGAGAGAGAGAGAGAGAGAGAGAGAGAGCGATACTCACATTAAAAGGGATGTAAGAATGTCGTCCGTTCACAGGTCCACAAGTAAAGCCTGTATATCCTGCCATTGCCCCATGAACCGCACTTTGAGCAAGGAGCGTGCAGTAGACATTATCAGAAGCATTACCTGGAATTGCTCGGATCATGTACGTAGGATCTGCAACAATCATAACTGTCAAACCAAAATCCCAAAGGGAAATGAAGCACAAGAACACCAAACAGATAGCTTACCTATGTATTTGAGAGTGATAGCCATATTATGTTCCTTGGCGAAATGATCCTGAAACAGAAACAAAGCAACCTTCAGTGGGGCTAACAGAGAGACTCAAGAATTTCTTGATGCTCTTATGGCAAAAGTGTGTACCTTGATCCTGTGAGATATCCAGAATCCAACATCTTGAAGTTGCTTGTTTCCAGAAGCATCTTGCTGCCCCATAGACTGCATGCTCTCTGTAAGCAGATCTTGTCCTGCTCCTTCAGCAATAACGATAACCATGTGCCCATTTTCTTTTAGCCGTTTTCTAATGAATTGAAAAAGTCCACCTTTGCCTTCTAAGAAGAAAGGTGACTCTGGAATCAAACAGCAGTCCACATCTCTGCTGGCAAGTGTAGCATACATAGCAATGAAACCTGTACCAACAGCAGAAGGCTTAATGAGGCTCAATGCATCGTCGCGGGTATCAAAGTAGTGATGACAAAACAAAAGCATTAGGAGGGATGGATTTAAAAAAAAACACATGTAGGGGAAGATTTTTCAAATCCGTAAGGCTTATGGATTTGGTACCCTCATGGATTTCCAAGTCCATGGAGTTGACACAATTATTTATTTTTCTGCCTCGCCAAATAAGGGTTCTAAGAAAAATTCTCTTCATATGGATTTGGTGCTCAAATTAAACACCTAACACCAACATCCAAATGACCCCAGGGGATTTTTTCGGACATGTGCAAGTTAAACTAAGACTTACCACTATAACGTCCCATCAGCTTCACAACACCAATACCATTTTCGGTACTTTCAGCTTCCACGTGGGCTGCATTGATAGCCCGTTGTGCCTCCTCAACCGCAGTATCGAAACCAAACGACCTGTCAATAACCTGTACCAGAACCCGGATATTTAGCATGAATTCATATAATGCACCCAGGGGGCAAAAAAGGAAAAGGATCCATGATAGTGGAAAGGATGATGTTTGAAAGACCAAGATGGCGGGTTTATCCTTACGGGAATGTCATTATCAATGGTCTTGGGTATTCCAGCAACTGAAACTTTTAGACCGCGGCGTCTGACTTCCTAAACAGGGCGAAAATAAAAATGTTTCAACACTGCCCAACTTGCAGATACAGAGTGATGCAAGCTAATATAAAATTCGAATTCATCACAGCCTAATGAAATAACATCTACCAAAAACATACCTCATAAATGACCGCAGCTCCCTTTTGAGTTCCGTCACCTCCAATGACATAAACCTGTACAAACATTACACCGAGAATAAATGTATGAACTACTAGCATAAAACCCATGGGAAGTTGCAACAAAGCTAAATTCGAACCTGATTGATCCCACGATCTTGGATGCTGTCCACTATCTTTGAGGTGTCATGACCTCCTCTTGACGTCCCAAGAACAGTACCGCCACGTTTATGGATGTCATTGACAACCTTGGGAGTCAAAGTAACAGTATTCTTGGAATAGAATCCCATGTACCCTCCCTGGAAGTAACAAGTGAGAACAGATCAAACACCAGGTTTGAGTTTCAACGACTTCGAGTACCGGGTGGAAAACAGTTAGAGAGGTGACTCACATCAATGCCGATGATTTTGGAGACACCGTACATGTAATGAAGGCCGCAAACAATCTCCCTGATGACAGTGTTCAGCCCGGGGCAGAGGCCACCACAGGTGACAATGCAAGCATGAACTTCGTCGGACTTGAAGTATACCTGAGAATAAATTGTTTTGCAAACAAAACAAAGGTTAGAATTCATATCTAGTAAACTTCCCGAGATGTATACAGTATATTCGGTAGGCAGTGGTAAACTTAGATTGGTGGCATCAGGGTATAGATTGAATGGGAAGAACCAAAACCTTTTGGCGAGGTCCAGCACGACGGAAGTGGATTCCCCTGTCACCATTCTTGTGAACCACAATCTGAGACAAAACAAAATAAAACCTAAGAAACTAACTTAAATGCTTTTAAGTTTGTCCCAGTACCGCGAGTTCAGTTCAGTTCAGCATACAATGTGATATTCAGCTACGAAATTAGAGCAATATCCAACCCCGGGAATAGCAGCAGAGCAACCAATTTACCTTTTGGGCGACGGTGTCATCCACATCGACGAAGTACTGCCTGAAAGAGTTGAGATCAAAGGAGATGGATTAACAAAAGCAAGGAGGATTTGGAATCAGAAACAGCGAAAGTTACTTACTTTACAACAGAGTAGGCAGGATTGTCTTGCAAAGGATTAGGGTAAGTCTGCATCCATTCAGATCAAAGAACACAGATTCATTAGATTACAGAACATACCGCCATTAATCAGTGGGAGGAACACCAGAAACCCAGAAAAGCAATTAGCAGAAGGAAGCTTTACGAGGAGCGAAGGGAGATAGTCAGTGAGGTGAGGGACGTCTTCCAATATATAGCCTCCTTTTCCTTCCTCTATCTTGGTGTTGATAGCGGCGCAACCTCCATCGGCCATCTTCTCAGCAACTACTGAGCGCCGATGAACAAGCTGAGCCTGAGATTTGCGGTTTGCGGAGGAGAAGAAAGGTCCGAATGCTGGTATCTGTTTAATAGTTTAGTGAGTGAGAAAGGACGAGGAGTAGTGAGAACTGAGAAGCCAGCAGCACGGAGACGGAGACGGGGGAAAAAAAGAGAACGGACAGCGACAGACGACAGAGTCGGAGAGTTGTTTTTGGTGATGCAAAGTCGGGAAAGAGTAGGAATTTCGTCTGACGAGTGATGACTCCCTCTCCTTACCAACATAGTACGCCTCCATCTTTGTGTCCTTTTCTTTCCTTTTCATTTTAGAAGTTTTACTTCTTTTCCCCTTGCAATTAATAACGAAAAATTAAAAAATTTCACCAAATTAAATAATGATATGATATTATATAAATGATATCTATGAACATAATAATTCTAGATATTATCCTCCAGACTTTTTTCTTTTATCAAATATCATATTTTCTCCTATGTATCTCATTATTATGGAATGCATACCGTCAATCTTGTCTTAACATTTTTGCCTGATTTTTACACTATGTTTGAGGATTTCTACACTCCACATCGAACTACTTGACATTACACATTGCTTTTTTTGGTGCATCTTCCAAACGCCAGAAGTAAGAGGATGCTCAGATTGTCATCCATAGTGGAAAGAATTCATTTCCTCAGTTGCAATTTGCAAACAAATCCCCACGTTAACCCTAAAAAACCACAACTGTTGCAAAACCGCGGCGTCGCCCACCGATTCAAGGATCCCACTTATTCTCTTCTTTACTCTTTACCATCACGCCACTTGCGACTTGGCTTGCAATGTTGGTTCCCAGTCCACTTTCCTTTCCTTTCCTTTGCACACTGTTATTATTATTGTTGCACCTTTTCACATGTTAAAGCCTAAAGGGAATTAAGATCAGAACATATTCTGGAAAGTAACTACTTTTAAACAGATCACAAAACATTTTACTGAATCCATCCGATTCCTTGCACTGAAGTAAGCAAAGGTCCTGTGAAAAGAATTGGAAGGAAAAAAAGAACAAAAAAATCGCAACATATTCAGCTAATACAGGCGCTCTCCATCATCTAACCGGACTATAATCTGCAGCGCTTAAATTCAGCGTTACAGATTATTGTCCCATGAACGTCCTGCTAATTTGCATCTTTCCCCACTTCCCGTGGCTGTAGTAGTAGTAATACAGTTCCTGTGTATCAAAAAGCGAACAAATGTTCAGCTAGATTAAAGAGAAACAATCAAACAACTAAGACGATCCAATCCAATTGAAAAAATTACCTCCTCTTTGTTGTGCAGATGCTTGCTCTGAGCTTTCCAACGATCAATGGCTATGCTGGTATGGTTCAAAATGCGTACCGATAGATGGCATCAGCTACCCCATCTTCGTCATTACTAGCACCAATTACATTGGCCACAGCTTTCGTCTTCTCGACACCATTGCTGAGAGCAATGCCAAGGGAAGCCAATCGCAGCATCTCGATATCGTTCTCCCCGTCTCCAATGGCCATTATCTGGGACAAGGGAGTCCAGATTGGAGCCCCAATAATCATTGTTATTCGCCTAGTACATTCCAGGACCAAACACAATTTATAATTTCACAACATAGTATCCAAACTTTTAAAATCTGACCAGACAGCCCTTAGACTGAGAAAGGGGTAAATTTAAAATACCCTCTAAATTCCGAATCACATCAAAATTTCAAGAAAGTTATATTCTACTTCCATCATGTATCTTATGGCAGAAAAATAATAAACAAGTGAAGACCAAAGATTGAATCAGCTCTTACCTCTTCAGCTTTCACACCCAGATGATCAAGAAGAATTTGGATCCCGCTCCCTTTTGATGTTCCCACAGGTACAATCTCAAGCATATGTGGAACAGCTTGAACTACATTGGCACGCTCTCCTGCTGCTTCTGACCAATACGGCCTCAGTTCAGTTGCTACTCTATCAGCAGTGTCTATGAACAACATTTTCTGAAATGTTCAATCAGGTAGAATCCTAATCAGCAGATAACTAAGAAAGTATTTTGACCCTGAGGCCTGATGTAAAAATGGTGGAACTCACAGCTGCAATAAATCTGTGACTGGAATAATGGTAGTAGTTAAATTGAAGGAAATGCGAAACTTTGCAAAATAATTCCAAAACTTGGGGTTGTATTGCAGTCAACAGTAGCAAATGATGTGCTTAAGGCCACTTATGATATTTTAAATCAGACAAATTACGAGTTAATTCCATGATTTTCTGCTGATCTGATGTCTTCTGCTGCTCTTTAAGCAGATAACAAATTAGTGCTCCTTGTATTCTAAATGGTAATAGATATAAAATAAAAATCACGTACTTGTATGTCAGCTGCAGCTATGAGATCCTCAACCGAAGACATGACTTCTGCCTGTTAAAATCGTCTTGCAACATTACTCACGGGAATAACTCCAGAGAGTAACAAATGAACAATTACACTTTTTCATCGAGCAGTGCATGGACATGAAAAGGGCACCTGCGGCGCTCGGTAAACTGTATGCAGTGATTCAACAAGGGGGTGATCAAACAGCGTTAAGCAACGATCATTGCTGAATGCAATTAGAGGAACCTTCTGCTCCAAAGAATACCTGCACACCTGCAACCAAGACATGATTTCTGTCTCTACATTGTGATAACTTCAGGTTTTCCAAAATTCTTATGGTCCACAAGGCTTATCAATTAATCACAAGCAATCCAACCGAGTAGCCATCTATAGGATGAAAAATACAAACAGCTTATAGATTTGTCTGTATATGTGAGAAACCATGCAAAGGATTCTTTGTCAGTCAAAAAGGATCTAACTCAGACAGATATTAGCATCATAGTGGTTACCTCTCTGCAGACACCTGGATCTAAATTCCTTCTGAAAATCTCTCGTCCCTGCCTACCGTACACGAGCAACCCCTGAGATAATAGAAACTCCGAAACATGAGCACGAAAACACTTTAAGACTGTATGAATTTAAGAAACAAAAATAAACTAGAAGAACTATATTCCAGATAAAGATATACATATTTTAACCGTGCAAAAGTTATATGGACAAAACAAAAACAAAAATCCAGAAGGGACGCAGAAAGGAAGAAAACTAGAAAAGGTTGTTCATAACTGTTCTTATTCTTAAACACCCTACCAGAAAATCCAACAGAAATGTGACCCTCCAAACTTTTAGGTAGAGAATTATGAGGAGAGAAGTAGGAAACCTGCAGGAAGACACCAGGGGAGACCTCTGAGACAATACCATCTTTATCAGCTAAGCCAGCAGTCTTCAAGATATTTATCACAGCAGGGCGAGCCTGTTCCATGAATTCTTAGGCCAGTTAGTAAAACTTCCATCTCAAGTCAGCCTTCATTGGATCAAAAAGACAAGTAATGATGGAACAAAGTGCACTGTTTATAAATAATTTCAAGTGGATTATTATCCTACCTTTCCAGTTGCTATGACTACCTTCACTCCTCTTGACATAGCTTCTTTCAATGCATTTGCATTTGTGGTTGAAAGTTGACTTTTGCTGTTAAGCAATGTCCCTAGAGTTCAGGACAAAACCCAAATTAGAAGGAAAAACAAATCAAAGAAAGAACCTAGAAGTATTCGCATTGAAGTGATAATCTCACCATCCATGTCACAGAAGATGTACTTGAATTTTGGTTTATAGAAGCGAAGACTGCCTTCTTTCTTCCTGTCTTTAAAGCACCAGTTCAAAGACTCGGAAGCATATGATTTGCGTAAGAATCTGGACTAATATGTAGCAGTAGATTTAACAAAATAATACCATCCAAAATTGCTGAATCAGAATTAGCTTTCTCGCATGAATCATATGCACTTTGAATTAGTCCTTTACCCGTCCACCCAAGACTCTTCAAAAGAATTTCCTCCTCTTTCTCCATTTCAGTTTCAGCCTCGCCACTGATCTCGTGATCAAATCCTAACAGATGCAACAACCCATGGACCTGTACATGGCGCAGAAGGGTAACACAACAGCAAAATGTACTAGTTAGGCATGGAAATGAGGTGAAACCACCACAAAAACAAGAAACGTCTTCTCAACTGCACCGGACTATTAAAAGCTAATAACTAAACCAACCATGAGGATACGGATTTCATCAAGAAGTGTATGACCTCTTTCTTCAGCTTGCCATGCAGCTGTCTCCACAGAAATTACAATGTCACCCAGCATCAGCTGCAAAGGAAGAGAAAACTAACTATCAACCCTGGCTTGCTCTCCCAATACAGAAGACTCGGTTAACAAATGGTTATGGCCTACTACTTACAATAGGGAGATTAAGCCGAGGAACATGCTGCGACATGGAGAGAACATCAGTAGCACTGTCTTCACCCCTCCATTCTTTGTTGAGCTTACGGATGAAGCTGTCATTGCAAAGCATGACAGACAACTCGATGCTCTCGTAGCCACCAACATCCGAGATAGTAGTATCTCGAGTTTTGCAGCGAGAATCTTTCAGGCCATCCAGTGCCAACTTCAATGCCATGGGCACGTTTAGGCGGAGCAACTCTGCTATACTCTGCAACATTGGCATCCACTCCAGAGCTCAATACAAAACAACAAACATAAAATTGACAGAATACATAATCATTCAATGCCGGAATGGTATAATGTCCGTTCTTAAACCTCTTCCAACAACGCGAGTTACTACGACAAAAACTTACTCTTCACATTATAATAACAGTAAACATTCTTGTGTCTCAAACAACCATTATTGGGAGGCTCTAGTTCATGACAATTCAAACGAAAAGTGAACGACAAGTTACTACCAGGATTTCAGAATCGTTATCAGGGAGGTCCTCCTCAATGCAAATGCTAACGCTCAGCTCCAGCTCCTTCTGCTTGCTCTTGGCGGTGGCGCGTCTTCTCACTTTACGGTATTCTCTCTGTCCGCCGGCGGCGGCGGCGCAAACCCCGGGTACAATCTTCTTGACGACTCCGGCGTGGAAGCATCTGGTCGTGAAGAAGGATGGCGGGGCGAAGGCGGTGGACGGACGCGTCGGAGGGAAGAAGAGAATGTTGGACTTGGAAGCAGAAGGGGAGTGAGGAGCGGCGGCGAGGGAAACAATCGGGAGAGTGGCGGCGGCGGCGCGAGAAGAAATGGGGGGCGCCATCGGAGGAGGTAAGGGGAGAGAGAATCGAAGGAGGGGACGGACGCGAGGGAGCATATGGTTAGTTGCGGGTGGCTACTAATGGCTTGGCGTTGGAAGTTGCCGTTTGGTAGCGCCGCCGTCGAATGGGAGGGAAGGGGCCGGCTACTGGACAGTGGACAGTGACGCTTGTGAAGCTGAAGCCCTCCTTGGCGTGGCTCGCCGGGAGATTGGTTTTGGGTTGTAGATCTTGGTTCGTTCCACACTGAGTGGTTTGACCGGTTGGACCGTGTTTGATATTAAATCGAATTTTTTTTATATTAAATTGAATATATAATGAGTTCTTGAATTTGACGATCGCATACAAATCTTCTTTTCTTTATTAATTAAATTAAAGCGCTTTCAGATTTACACCCCGTCCACGTAAGCCTTCCTCAACGAAGGATGATCCACGTCAGCCTCTCAAATTAAGCCCACTTCGTCTCTTCCGCGGGAAACAACTGCCGCCTCCCTTTAAATCTCCGTTTGCGTCCCTTCGTATCGTTGACCCCAACTCTTCACCACCAACAGGTTCTTCGTATCATAAGACCCTCAGATTCCTCCGCATACGGCCGACGTCTGCACATCACCAACGCTGCAATCATCCACCTGTCCACTTCTTTGAATTCCCGGCGCAGGTAATTTTCCCTTCCACAAATTCCTTCAGCCGCCGTTTGGTTCCCTGCTCCGCATCTGTCCCTTTACAAACCCTATTGTGTTCCCATCCCTGCAACTACACTTTCCTTCGGTATTCCCGAACGCAATTGTTCATTCTCGGCCAATTTTTTCACACCTTCGATTTTGGTCTGAAGATTGTGTTGCTTCCTCATAGTCATAGATAATGGCCGGTACGTACGTGTGCTTTGCTTTCATATAGAAATTATATATGTTGCATTCAAACTACATGATGGGTACGTATGATTTTTACATGAAGTTTGGTTCGACGAATTACTTGATGATTGGAGTTGTAGCTTTTAGATCAAGTTTGATGGAATATATTTGTTCCTCCCGTATATTTTGAGTTGAAGGGCTAAGATGGAGGGTCCAATTTCCAGTTGGATATAAGGCTTATTGCTTGACTGTTCATTGCATAAGTGTGATTTTTTTTTTTTTTGCATAAGTGTGATTATGATCAAGTACTTGCACTTTTTTTTTTTGTTTTTTTTTTTGGCTAATGATGATTACATGGGCCACCAAACTTGCATTGTATAACAGTTACGTAGTTTCTACTTTGTTCCCTCGCGGTAGGGATTTCTTATTTTCTTTTACTTATCGTTTACCCAAATATCAAATAACCTTAGCTTCAACATCGACTTTTTCAGCAACACATGCTGCTTTCACGCAAGCCATTGCTCCCCTATTGATTTCCTCTCATTGTTCCAACCTCCTTTTTTTGGTTCTGTACAATCTCTTCGTTGGTCAGTAAATTTTATTAACACTTGGTTCATCACAATTTATATATCTTTGTCCATGTTTATCCCTTATGCTTTTCTTCATAACTGTTGGTATTTACTAATCAATGGATCATTTTGCTTTCAATATAATTAAATTAAGGCTACACTATAGCTTTTATTATGGCATTTGAAACAAGATTTTGCCATGTTAATTTTAGAGGAACATCATAAACTTTCAGTTGTGAGAAGCAACTTAGGACGTACACCTGATGCTCTTTTCTATGACATGGTATTAATAACTCCTCTTTAGTAGTGAGCATTTGTTAAATCTCTTCTGCATCTAAGATATATTCCAGTCCACCATGTTAATTTGTAGAGTGGTTCGATGATTCATGTGCCTGCTGATTATGATTGCACATATATCTATATCCAAGGCCATCCTTTTACTTAATCGAATGGGTTAAAATATCTTTGTTTTGGCATATACTAATTAGCACGAGCACTAAAAGGGTGGGAAAACTAATGACAAGTTGACTACGAAGAAGTACGGAAAAGGTGTACAAAGATGAAGAAGAAAAGTAATAAGATGAAGGTGCCAATGCTTGAACACATGAGCATGCCATGAATTGGAGTGTAGTATAGATGTACTGTCGAGTATCGGTGTTAAGTTCTACCTGCATATTTAACGTGCCATGAGTTGCCTTGGTTGATTACCTAAGCTTTTTTTTTACATTTGGGAGAGTCCACTTTGTTGTTACTTGAGCTTTCAATTGTCAATTAGTTGGATTAGATAAACATGAGATGTTCTTATTTGTTTGTGGGGCTGTAAATAGGTTCAATTTGTAAGTTGTGTTAAAGTTTGACAGACGAAGTTGAAGTGAAAATTATTAATTTGGAAGCATTTCATTGATGATATGATATTGTTTTAGAATACATTTCAACGATATGCTAGCAATGGTTTATGGTATAATATTTTGAATGATAATGTAAAGAAGCAATAGTTTTAAAATCTCCCTTAAACCCTTTTTGGTAACAATGCATAAATTAGGTTTAGTAATTTTTTCCGAAAACCAAACAAATATATTCTCTTTTTGCCATCAAAATTTAAATAAATCAGGATAGTCTAATAAGACAACCAATAAAAATTAAATATGCTTTATACAAAAATTATCTTTGTCATGTACATTAATGAACTCAACTTAACAATTCACCCGTCCATCGGGCGGGCACAAAGCTAGTACAATATACTTCATTCTCATTTGTATATTTTTCAAAAAATGACTACTTTTTATCTGAGTCAATTTAATAAGAGTGTTCTTCAACATACCCCTTGTGCAATTTGTTCTTCAACTAACAAATTTAGTAGGCATTGGAAGTTGGAACAACACTAGATCATATTGAGGCAAGTATCTCAACATATAATAAGTATATGCATGTTCAATGACACGTCAGGGTTTATTCATTTGACTATGCATCTTGAAGAAAATACTCAATAAGTTAAAATTTTACATTAAATGTTTTCTAAAAACTAGTTATTTTACAAATAACTAATTCAAATTAATTCATTTTAATTCAAATTAAAATGGTAAATGATCTTCTTTTTAATCGATCCATCTAAAACACTCTCGTAATGAATTATTATATACATAACACATATATGATATATTAAAATTGATGTAATTTACCATACTTTCCAAACGACACCCTATTAGCAGCCCCGGAGTGTTATCAAAAGAGGACAAGAGTTATAGAAACAAAATTACCCAGGAACCCACTACAAACGACACTCTAATGAAGCCACACAAATAAAGTCGAAAGACTCTAACTCTACTAGAGACAAAAGCGGTGCTTTACATACCACTCTATGGGCAACACTGTTGGTGGCTCTATGAACCACCCTAAACTATATACAAACTGACAAAGAGTTTACGATCTGACGATACTCCCGCAGCACTGGACCTCCAAATGAATCTTCTATGACATCATGACGGATCTGGTGACGAACTCCTCGGAATCACCTTCCACTATCACGAGAGACAAGGTCTTGAGACAACAATGGAGATAACATCTCTTACAGCTAGGAGCTATGCCATGAAGGGGTATACTACTTCATGGTGACGCATATCAGCTGCCACCACCACATGCCCGTCTGACCCACGGATAGCAGGACCAGACGAGTACCCTGAGTCACGAACAGTTACGTCGAAGTTGAACTTCAAATAGTCTTCGGGTGGAGGCTCTCAGGCGGCTGGAGGAGGAATTGGAAGTTACTTCCCTAACTTAAACGTGGGGTTACAACCTTACATTTAGTTGTTACCCGTAAAAAAAAAAAAACTTAAACGTGGGAAACGCTGGTAGAAAACGGGGATTGTGCTATAAAGCGCGCCCGATGATAGGATCATTATATGAGGGTGCGGAGGTAGTTTCACAGTAACGACTCCGTAATAAAAAAGTCGCGCGGTATCCCAAGTTCCCAACCGAGAAAACGGACGGCCATCCGCGGGAAGGCTGCTGCTGGCCCCCACCTCGAAACGTCGTTTCGAATTTATAAAAAAACCCTCGTTCCCTTTACTTCCGTCTTCTCTTCTTCACCGTTCTCTCCAGTCGCTCCTCGACCTTTCCTCTTTCCATTCCGTTCCCTTCTCTTCCGCTACTGCTTCCCTCTCTCACTGTCTCACAATCTCCATCCCTTCTATCTCGCCGCCATTGAACAAACGATTGATTTCTCGATTCACCCTGCCCCGTTACATTTTCCACAACCGGTCAGAATCTAGGGTTCCGATCTTTTTGTTTTCCCCTCTCTTATTCTTCTCCGTCGGGACTTCCCAGATTATCATCTCCGTCGGTTCCGTTAAATCGAAGGGAAAAATGGTGGTGGGTTCGCAGAGTCCGAACGTGGCTACGTCCACTCAATCGGGGAACAAGAGAAGAGGTGGCATTACTAATAAAGTCTTCCTTGCTGGCCCTTCAGAGGCTGATATTCTGCGGAATGCTAATTTGGAGAAGGTAGACCAGTGTTTTTCCCATAGATAAAAAAAAACCCATCTTCCGTATCTTAGCTTACTGTTGAGAAGTTTCGTGCTTTGTCTTTCCTTGGTGTGATGCTGGACAGTTTTTGGTTGATTCTGGGTTGTATGAGACCAAAGAAGAAGCTGAACAGAGGCAGGAGGTACTTGGCAGGATTGATCAGGTAAACTTGTGAGTTTATATTACCTTGCCGGTCTGCAGTGGTTAACTGGAATTAGCGCAAACTTCATGAGAGCTCTTTACCTTGACCTGCAGATTGTCAAAGCTTGGGTCAAGCAACTGACGCGCTTGAGGGGCTACACCGATCAGACGGTGGAGGAAGCAAATGCAGTTCTTTTCACTTTTGGGTCTTACCGTCTTGGAGTAAGTCTAGGTTATGTTTTCTTTTCTCTGTCTACTGAGGATATTGCAATGCATACAAGGATTCTGCTTCTTCTTGAGTGTGAGACTGTAGACCGCCTACAAGCAGTCAGGAGAAGGCTATATTTCTCACTTTTCTATATTCTATTCCCGTAGTGTGCTCCCTTCCCGTATAAAGTTTTGAGCGTTTGTGATGAAATAATACCCAGGCGAAGTTAAGCTGGTTTTGTTCCTGCATAATTCCTTGATTCTATGGATATGAAAATGGCTCAGGTTTTGGATATTGCATTATTGCTGTACTCTTGCCTTAATAACTTGGCTGCAAGTCAAGACATAGGGACCATTTAAGGTGGTGCCGTGGTGGTTGAGTGGGTAAGCCTTGTCTTGACTAACTGGCAAGGATAGCCTGACAGGTTCTATTTGCAGGAACGCTCATTATTTTACTTAGTAAGCTTCACTCATGGATGGCCCTTGAGGGCGGTATTATCCTTCTCGTCTATGTTTTCCCTTGAAGTATTCAGTAATCTTCTAGAGTATTTACCTTCTCCCCGGAATTCTGATTGGAAATTATGAGATATGCTTATTGAGCAGGTGCATGGTCCTGGGGCAGATGTGGATACATTGTGTGTGGGTCCATCTTATGTCAACCGTGAGGTGACTTGTGAAACTTGCTATCGTCCTTGAATGCATACTTACATGTCATTTCTTCACTGTTTTTGAATGCTTCTCATACCTGTTACAGGAAGATTTCTTCATTATCTTGCATGATTTGCTTGCTGAAATGGAGGAAGTTACAGAGCTTCAACCAGTTCCAGATGCTCATGTCCCTGTAATGAAATTCAGATTCTTGGGGATATCTATTGATCTACTTTATGCAAGTATTTCTCTTTTGGTTGTTCCAGAGGTAAGTCTTCTCATCTCTAAAACATGAACTACACTTGATTACTGAGTTAATTTATCTATGAATGTCGTTTTTTACCAATCTTGAGTTTCAGCTTCTGTAATGGGCTTATTGGTAATTAGTGCTAGTGCTTGAGCCTTATGAGACAAGCTTGATTTGTTTGTTCTTTGGCCATCTGCTAATTCTAGTTTCAGCTGCTTGTTATGGTGATGTTTAGTGGTTTTTGCTCCCTGACTGTTTAGTGTGCTTCACTATTTCTTTGTCTTCTCCTCTCTCTCTCACTCTCTCCTTTCTGCTAACTGTTTTATTTATCTAGAGCTTGTCATTACTAGTTTATACTGTATTGGCTTCTGGAGTTTGTTTTTCTGATAAAGACCAGTCTTTCACTTTTCTATCTAAGAGACTGCTTTTGAGTTTCCTGTTTCTGGTCAATGTTCCCTTCCTCTTGTCCAGTTAAATCCTGACGCTACTTTCTGACAGGATCTGGACATCTCTAATGGGTCCGTGCTGCATGATGTGGATGAACAAACTGTTCGTAGCCTTAATGGATGCAGGGTAGCGGATCAAATTCTCAAGCTTGTTCCAAATGCTGAGGTGATTCTGATCATTGTTTCCTTTTTTATCTAGTTTCCTTTTTTGTTAGTGGATTTGATTCTGATCATTGTTTCCTTTTTATAAAATTCTAGCATTTTCGAACAACACTCAGATGTTTGAAGTTTTGGGCTAAAAGGCGAGGTGTTTATTCTAATGTAAGATGAGCGTTCTCTTTTTCCTGTCAGGTTGTTTCTTAGTATACTTGTGTGATTTCCATTTACATGTCACTTGTCTGTAGGTCACTGGTTTCCTTGGTGGTGTAAACTGGGCCCTTCTTGTTGCTCGAGTGTGCCAGCTTTATCCCAACGCAATCCCTAGCATGTTGGTTTCTCGATTTTTCAGAGTGTATACTCTGTGGCGTTGGCCGAATCCTGTGATGTTGTGCTCAATAGAAGGAGATAAACTCGGATTTTCAATGTGGGATCCCCGTAAAAACCCCAGAGATCGACTTCATCATATGCCTATAATAACTCCAGCTTATCCTTGCATGAATTCTAGCTATAACGTCTCGATAAGTACTCTCCGTGTTATGATCGAACAATTTCAATTTGGTAACAGGACTTGCGAGGTGAGAGCATAATTGTAATATCTTTCTTAAGGTCGCCTAACATTATCCTATTGATGCCCTTTGTTGTTTCTTCTCTTGCCTGTAGGAGATCGAGGTCAGCAAGGCCCATTGGAGTGCGCTATTTGAGCCTTATCCATTTTTTGCTTCATACAAAAATTACCTCCAGGTTGATATAATTGCAGCAGATGCTGATGATCTGTTAGCTTGGAAAGGCTGGGTTGAGTCACGTCTTAGACAACTTACTTTGAAAGTAAGGGATTGCACCTTAAACTTATTGTTTCAGATCATGCTCATGTTTTTTTACATAATGAGAGATTTTTCCTATCAATCGTTGTGCAGATCGAGCGAGATACAAATGGGATGCTGCAGTGCCATCCTTATCCGCATGTGTACACTGACATGTCAAGACAATTCCCTCATTGTGCTTTTTTCACGGGGTTGCAGCGAAAAGAGGGAATAAGTCCTCAAGAAGGCCAGCAATTTGATATAAGGGGAACAGTTGATGAATTTAGGCAAGATATAAACATGTACGTGTTCTGGAAACCGGGAATGGATATTTCTGTTGCTCATGTTCGAAGAAGGCAGCTTCCTACTTATGTTTTCCCAGAGGGACACAGACGTTCTCGGCATTCTAGGCATTTAAATCAGCAGCAGGCTGGAAAAGCTAATGATGATGTTGGAAAGTCTCCATCTGGATCCATTGAAGAGCAGCTTAAGAGAAAACATGATGGTGAAATGGGAGCTGTAAAACGAGTCAAGTGTGCCTCTGAAAGTCCACAGAAACTGCTGTCTGTTTCTCCAGAACTCTGTAGGACTAGGTCTGTTGGACCACTTTTAGAGAGCTTCCACGAGGTGGTTAAAATGGGCTTTTCTTCAAATCTGGCTGATGTTGATAATAATGCTCCATTTACATCATGTAGTGGACAGGACAACGGTGAAAATGGAGACCCGGTTGTTTGTGATTCCAAAGGGTTTGAAACTGAAGATCAGGGGGGTGACTTAAGCAGACAAGTTTCATCACAAGACTATATATCCTCCTTAGCAATGAATGAGCCAGAACCAATGGATTTGGTGGCTGAATGGCAGCATGCTCCTGACCCAAGCGAATGCCGAGTTGGGGTAGTTGAAACTTGTTTGGAAGAGGGTACAGCAAACGGGTCCTCTGAGGGATTCTTAAATTTGACAGGGGTTGGAGTTGAGGTTGAAGCGGTGCCAATTGTACCGTCTAATCAGACTTTTGTAGTGCTTGGGGAAAAGGAAGTAGTGTGCTCTAGTTCCAGCAATTGGAACCTCAATTGTGAGGTGAGTAATTCTGTTTAAGGTTTTTGGGTTTAATGGTGTAAAAGTAATGGAAGGGGCTATCTGAAGTTCGGAAGATAGTGACAACAGGAGGATCTTTGCAGGGTGAAGATGCTACAGATTTGGGCTCAGTTCTGGAGAATAGATGTCCGAGTGGGAAAGGACAGATTGCAAATGGCTTGCCTGAAGAACTAGAGGTCCTAATCCTTGATTGCTGACTTGAAATTGTTTTCTTCCACTAATACCTCTGTTCATCCACTCGTTCGTAACTGATTGCCATATTGCCTACTGTCTTTCCATTGTTTGATGGAGTTGGAGCATTTCCCAGCATGCCAGTGAAAAATCTGTTTTAAGGAATCTACTATTGAGGTCCAGAAATCTGAGTGATAATGTTTATGCTCCCCTTCAATTGAATATTGCATGAATTCTGACCAGTCAAAGTTGAATGTGAAACTTTTCTTCTTTGATTATTTTCTCTCTTTGCCCCACTTGTTTTATGCGGAGAATTTCCTAACTGGTGCTTATGGTGGCAGGTCCTGCACCACCACTATACGTGCTATGTTTCGAGTAACTGTTGCTAACAAAGAACTACCTGAACATATTTTACAGCTGGATACATCTACTCTCTGTTTAATATTTTGCTTTCATTTCCCAAACGAGGAGGCTAACTTTTGATTCTTAATTTGCCTTCGCTTGTATATTTTCTAGTGCTACACTGGCGGGACAGCTATGCAATCTCAAGACGGATCATCGAGGTCAGATTCTTTGCAGAGGCCGTTGATGAGGCATGATTTTATACAACCCTAAGTTTACATCTGCTAAGTCGTGATATCTTTTATGCTTTTTTGTTGTTTCGGTTGTTCTCTATGGCTTTTCTTCTTCTGTCAGGCTGAGTCTCAAATCAACAGTATGAGGTAAAGTGAATGAGCAGCTTGAAGTTCATGGTAAGTGCAGCATTTATTTGCTGGCCCCTCCCCGTCTTGTTTTCTCCAGGTGTGAGCACCTAAACACGGTAGAGCTGGAGCTGGGTTGAGGCATGCTGCATCGCTTGGTGGTTTGGGTGGTTCATCTAAAGCTAAGCATGAGGCTAAGCTGTTCGGATGTCTGGTGCCCGTGAAAGCCACTATGCTGGCAAGATTCACATCTTGGATGATTACGAAACGATTTGTTTTCATTGGCTGCTGGAATTGTGGTCCGTTTGTTCTCTTTTCGGACGTATGTTTTCATGTTTTAAATCAGTAGGATCCAAACTCTGTTGAGGAATCGTTTCAAGTGTACATTATATAAGAGGATATCAGATTGAGTTGTTTTCGCAAGGTAACCACTGGTTATGAAGTACACCTAAGCTTGCAGAACCTCTGGCTTGCGCTTTAGAAGTACGCGTTCCTGAAAAAGCCGGGTCGAACACAGTGATACTTGAAATGATATCTCTTGTGTAATGGAGAGGGTTTATTCATTATTGTCATAGCCATATAATATATACATTCCCTCTGTTCCCTCGTTTGTGCAAAACCTGGTTCTCTATTGACCACTTACATGGGATGTTATTCTACAGTGTACTAACAAGACTAGAGAAATGGCAGAAGTTCATACGCTGTAGGTGTCATCAATATCAACGTCTGTCACCTTCTTGCTCCGCCTGTAACTAGCTAGATAGGCAACCCCATTGCCAAGCAGAGGGGCCACGTCGAACTCGCGACCACCCTTGCTGTCGTAGTTCCTCTTCTCCCCGTTCTTCTCGTACTCTATCGGACACAGTCTCCTCAGAACTTGCACGACCTCCTTCATCGAGGGTCTCGTCGATGGCATTGTGCTCGTGCATATCAACCCTAACTTGAACACTGTCATCATTTCCTCTACATTGCTCCCTTCCTTGATCTCCTCATCAAGACAATCTTCCACTGGTTTGCCTTCTCCAATTTGTCGCCATGCCCATTCCGCCAGGCTAGTGTTCTCTCCTCCGCAGTTCGCCTGCCTTCCAGTCACCAGCTCCAGCAGCACCACTCCGAAACTGTACACGTCGATCTTCTCGTTCACTCTCGTCGTGTAAGCATACTCTGCAGAAACACAATGCATTCCAATAAGACCAACCATAACACAAACAGGACTTCGAAAGCAACGATTAGATCGATCGATTATTAACAACTTCGAGCGATGAGCTTTACCTGGAGCGAAGTATCCGAACGAGCCTGCTACCGCAGACACAGTCTCAGGGTCTCCAGACTTGGACAACATCTTCGCCAGCCCGAAATCTGCGATTCGAGGTTTGAACTGAGAATCCAGAAGGATGTTGCTGGATTTCACGTCTCTATGAAGGATCGGTTGAGAACACTCGTGGTGCATGTAGCAGAGACCCTGTGCAGCTCCAGACGCGATCTGCAGCCTGGTCGGCCAATCCAGCACATCAGCAGCATTCGTCTCCGACGCCGATTCGCCGCGGTGGAGCCACCTGTCGAGGCTCCGATTCTCCATGTACTCGTACACCAACAGCTTCGAATCGGGGCTCGAAATGCAGCACAACAGCTTGACTATGTTGGCGTGCCTGATCGTGCCCAGGATTTGAATCTCCGCAGCAAATTCCTTCTCCAGCTTCTCGTCAAGCTCCACATTATTGCTCCAAATCCGCTTCACGGCCAAGAACTGCCCTTCCCTGTTGGAAGGAATCCGGTAAACTTTACCCGACCCGCCGCTTCCCACTACGTTTCTCTCCGTCAGGCTCGCCAAAACGTTCGCCGCCGTGAAATCCACCCTCTGGAACGACGTCAGCTTCCACGCCGCGAGATCTCGTCTGTGCTTCTTCCTTCTCAGATCCCTAATGGCCGAGAATGTGACCAGAGAGGCGAACAGGAATACGATCACCGCCAGCGCGAGGATCATGGCTAGATACTTTGGGGAAAGTCTATTGCTCGAGCTGCCGCCGTTGATTCCGCCGCCTCGGTTTCTGCAGTTGGGAAGGTTTAGAACTGGGTTCACGGCGCAGAGATTCGAGTTATTTGCGAAGCTGTTCTCGTAAGCGAGATTGTTGTAATCGTCTGGAATTTTCCCGGAGAGTTGATTTGACGCCAAATTGAGGGCGGTTAGCCGGAGATTGCTGAACTCCTTGGGGATATCGCCGGAGAGTTGATTTTCGGAAAGGTCCAGATCGAGGAGGTCGGGTAGGTCCCCAACCGCCGGCGGGATTGAGCCGGTGAGCTTGTTTCTCGAGAGATCCAGAGAGGAGAGCGATCTCCAAGACAGAATCGTGGATGGAATTTGGCCGGACAGCTGGTTCCCATCTAGTAGGAGTGTGGTTAGACTTGAAAGGCTGGTTAATTCCACCGGGATCTCGCCGGAGATCTGATTGTTGCTGGCTTCGAAAACAACCAGGCCTTTCCAATTCGCGACTCCTTTGGGTAACGGCCCTGAAAACCTGTTGTTGTTAATCTCCAATCTCGACAAATTCCAGGCTATGGAGGCCGGGAGTGCGCCGGAGAACGAATTGTCGCTGAGCATCAAGTACGTCATGTTGACCGCCGTCCATATCCCCGACGGAACCTCCCCTGAAAAATTGTTGCCGTAGAGCTGAACCGTTCTCAGAGTCCCACAATCCCCAATCGAACTAGGAACCTCTCCGCTCAAATGGTTCGACTGCGCAACCAGCCCAGCAAGCACCCCTCCAGCGCAGAGATTCGCCGGGAGCTTGCCGGAGAATCCGTTCGTCGCGATATCGAAAATCTCGAGTTGTGAATGTAAACCCATCTCCGGCGGCAGTTCCCCGGTGAAGTTGTTGGTGAATATCTTGATCTCTTTCAGCGATGGAAGCAGGCCGATGCTGCTGGGAAGCTCCCCGTGTAATTTGTTGTTGAATAGATTCAGAATCTCCAGCTTCTGCAGCTTCCCAAACTCCCCGGGAACAGAGCCCGTGAGATTGTTCATTGAAATATCAATTTCCGTCAAATTCAACGTCTCCACCTTCGTCGGGATCTCGCCGGACAGTTCATTGTGGAATAGGTAGAGAAACTTCAGATTTGGGAGCGTGAATAACCCGCTTGGAATCCCGCCTTCCAAATTGTTCCCGGCCAAATCGATGTGCTCGAGATTCAAATTATCGGCCAACCACTCCGGCACTTCCCCAATCAAGTTAGCGTTTCGAATCCAAACGTAGGTTAACTTCTTCAGCCGACCGAACTCGGGAGGAATTGGAGAAGGAACAAACCCATTATACGCCATCCCCAATTCCTCGAGATTTTCGAGGTTCCCGATCTCCTTAGGGAAAGTCCCATTGAATTGGTTCTGGTAGAGATACAGAGAGCGGAGGCTGGTGAGGTTGCCGATGGAGGAAGGGATGTCGCCGGTGAAGTTGTTCCCGCCGATGTCGATGAAGGCGAGGGAGGTGGAGAGGCGGTGGATGTCGCCGGGGAGTGGTCCCACGAAGTAGTTCTGGGAGAGGTCGAGGTACTGAAGCTTGGAGCAGTTGTAGAGAATGGTTGGGAAGCCGCCGGGGATGTAGTTCCATGACAAGATCAGGCGGGTGAGGTTTCTGAGGTCGCAGACCGTTGAGGGGATCGGAACCGTGATGTTTTGATTGGAGAGGAGGAGCTCGGTGACGGCGCCGCCGCCGCCGTCTTCGGTGCAGGTGATTCCCGGCCAGGAGCAGGCGGCGGTGGTGGCGGTCCAGGATTGGAGGGAAGGTGGGTCGCCGAGCTGGCGCTTGAGGTTGAGGAGGATGGTCCGTTCGTCCTGAGAAATTACGTGGAAGGGTACGGCGGCGAGGAAGAGGAGGAGGAGGCGGAGAAAGGGTAGTCTTGTCATTGCGGCGGTATTTTGAGGGGAAGTTGCCGGCAACCTGACGGGGACGATTGGCTGAGAAATGGAAAGAAGGGAGGGGGAGTTTTTCTAAGGGGATGGGTTGGGGGAAATGACACTGGAAACTGTAATAATTACGACGGCGAACCATCGAATTGGGACCCAATGATCACTCTCCCCGCCAAAAAGTCAGTCAACGGGCAACAATCAGGGATTTGATTCTAGCACGGGTCCGACTAAGGAGTTTACCTAATCAGCTTCTAGTTTACTAATCTAGAGATACTCTATTTGATCAATGATAATTTTTTTTTGGGAATTACAGTGTAGTTTTGAATTTCGATTCTATCTAATTTTCTCTTGTGTGAGAGAACTGCTATTCATTGTGAATTATACTTGATTTCATTTATACTAATTTGATTATGGTTGTTGTTGATCCGATAACAACTCACTGCTACTTATAACTTGATTCGTAATCGAGATATAATGATTGGATCTATAGTAAAGTAAATTGAGCTCCAGAATAAGATGAAGATGTAATTAGCTGTACGGGTTCACTTTTGGCTGGATATATTTATCTCTCTAGTAATATCCTTTTCCTTCGTTTGCAAGCGAAAATTATATTGGAGTTAGAGCTCATTGAATTATTTGCTCGATATGATCCGTACTAACTGTACTATGTTTGTTGATGGCCGAATCTTTGCTCGATATGATCCGTAATTGACATACTCTGTCATATTAGAAACAAAGAAAATCTAAGAAATAGTGTTGGGCCAATCATTAAGACACATGGGCCACCAAGCCCATAAACACCAAGAGGCCCAGAAAGGCGAGCAAGCCCAACCCAGATGGGCCCGAAAATACATCGGACAGTGGTCCAAAGGCGGTCTTCCGCGCCTCTGATCAGGAAGAACCGCCTGACATCGTCTGATCGGGTCCCTGGGTAACCGCCCGACACTCGGGAACAAAGTTCGTCTGACACCTCAGTACGAAGGCTGACAAAGGTACGATCCTGACAGCCTCCTGAGAACAGGTCCTTATGCGACCTTGGACGCCCGACAGGGCATTAATTATCCTCACTCCGACATCCACTAGTATAAATACCCACTCATGGGACACATTTGGGGTAACTTCTATCTACTCCATTCTCTCTCTTATTCATTATATCCACTTCTCTCACTAACTTAGGCATCGGAGGAGGTCCCAGGGCTCCCCTGAGGACCTTTGTTGCAGGACTTCGAAGGTCGCCTCTCATCCTCCCAAGACCGCACGAAGACTGTGAAGCCTCGCAAACCGCCCGGTACATTCCAGGCATAAACATTTTGGCGCCCACCGTGGGGCTTCACGACTTCGTCACCGGAAAAAATGGGAGACGGCTTCGAAGCTCCTCTCAAGGGAACGACCCAGAACAACACCCTCCGGGGTCTATCGCCGAGAGTCGAAGACGAATCGGAGTTTGAAGAGATAGTCGAAGGTCATGACTTGCAAATCGCGAACATGCAAGACAGCCTGTCGCGAATCCTCTAACTACCGAAAACGAGGGAAAACCCTCCTGAAGGGTCGAGGGGAAGGACGCGAGAAGAGGTGCAGATCTAGGCATCCTTGAAAAACATTTACGGTCGACTTACGGGAAGCACAAGAGTCCCAATGTTCTTCAAAAACCCGCTCTCCGAGGAGCTGTTCAAGACCCCATCACTGCCAAACTCCTCCTCCCTCGGACTACCAGCGTACAATGGGACCTCAGATCCCGCGGACCACCTTTGCGCGTTCATGTCAAAGGTGCAGTGCATCAACGCCTCGGACTCCGTCTTGTGCCGAGCGTTTCCTGTTACCTTCAGCGGTCATTTTCGGACGTGGTATGCCTCCCTCCCGGAAGGGGTGATAGAAATTTTCGGAGGTACCCTTGACACTTCAAGGAGCGCCCAGAGAGCAAAACATCATAGGTGGGTTTCAAACCCACATCATCTCCCCACAAAGGAGCTCACACAACCAGTACACTACGAGGATACCTTTTGCTTTACAAACGCAGCGGTAAATCATCATTGCTTTACAAACATCTCACAACCCTTGGGCTCAAGGACCGCCCCTGCATTCAAAGTCGACGCACCTCAAACCGGAGGTGACCGCCCTCTAAGCAGCCTTACCAGGCTCACATCCATCCACGACCCGCCTTGCGAAGGAAGCCCACAGTGGAGTCCGAGGCGCTACTCATTTAGTTGAGCAGACTTCATTCTTAACGAAATAAAAAATAAGGAATTTCCTGGCCAAGATTCGAACCCGCATTAATTAGGATACAAGAACGCCAACTGGCTGGCGACAACATCTTCTCATGTCACTAGGGGCAGCCGCCTTTTAGCTATTTTTTCAAGATCCAGCGCAGGAACCGAACACGGCCCAACTGCAGGCTCGTCTCCAACATGCCAGGAGCCCAAGGCTGGGACCGCCTCGCTCCACCTCCGAGCGGATGCAAGACCGGGACCGCCTCGCTCCACATCCGATTCTCCAAGGCGATCCTATCCATCGTCGATGGGTCGCCTCCCTCATCAACGCGATCCGTCTCGCACGCGGACCCCTTCGTCCGAAAGTCCAAAAGGCAGGGGCAATTACCAGTCTGCCACAAGACCGCCTTGAGGATCAGAAAGCGACTCGTCTTACTTAAACCGCTTCCCAGCTGTCTTCTACAGCTTATTCTCAAGCTAAGTACTTCCTTCTACGATATATTCAAATACTATGCCATGCAGACCGCTCCCAATAGCACACAATGATGTTTTCTCACTACATCCCATGCTATGACATATTTCACGCATGCTATGCTTATGTTTGTCACTCACATCCTTCGCAGATGTAAAACCGCATCACATGATCTACATCCCGTGCTATCCCTCCACGCAAAACGCACACAGCTTAACGCACACAGCTTACAGTTACGGTCTACATATTAGCACGCTCAGCAATGGGCTAGTGGGGAAATCTCAAACGACTTGAGAGCTCTAACTCAAGACATCGAATGCTAAGCGAAGAAGCAAAGACGATGGTCGCACAAGGGGCAAACCGCATCGTTTGGACCCGCAAGTAAGGCAAGTTAATGCACCTTAACGCATTATTTTACTCCTTCCATTCTTACAGAATACAAGAAGCAAAGGGGCAAAAATGTCGGGTCTAGTATTAACCCGCCTAATACGGGCCCAAGCCCACCGCAAAGCGTCTCACCTTGGGCTCAAGCCCATTCTAGGGTCCAGTACACCGGGGGGCGTCCATCATCGGGAGGCGCCACACTAATCCCGCTTCCTGAGCAATGCTTCCACTCTACGTAGAAGCCTGAAACCGCCTCCCTGTGGACGCGCCATCAGTATAGCTAACATGATACCGCCTCCCAGCAGAAGTGACATCTTCACGCCTCGAACTTGCGCGAAAGGCTGCCTCCAAAGCCCATTCCATTCCGCGCGCCTTCCCAAAGCTGCTAAGCCCGCATTATGTCTCAAGGCGGCCTACCTCTCAAATCCGTCACCTACAAAGCGTTCAGCTTCCAAGACCATCTGAGCCAAGACCCCCGTGCGGGCCCAATCCGCATCCAGTCCTATCACAAGACCCGTCTGCCAAGTCCAAGCTGCAACCTCGCGTCGAGCTCCAACCTCAATCCCAGTCGGTAGTCCAAGCATATAATGGGCCGCATCCCGGTCCACAATCAACCATGGCCTACAACGAGCGAAGCTTGGCAACACGCCATACACGACCCATGAAGCTCTCAATTGTCGCATTGCAAAAATAAAGAAGGACCGCTGACGCAAAGCCTCAAACCCTCATCCAGCCAAGCACAAGATGATCATCACCACCATGCTACGTTCCCCCTCCGTGCGATATTATCATCGCGAAAACGTTTCCACTTGAAACGAAAGTCCGATCATGTCGTTACACTACAAATCCGCTTTGTGTCTGCTATTGGCAACATTCGACATTTGAAGCCATTTGCAGGAAGCGCCCTCGACTAGAAGACTACAACCACGTACACACCTCCAGCCCTCCAACTGGGCCGCCCGAGCATCCATTCGGCCTATGGCACCTCCGAGCCCACCCAACGTTATCACTGAAGACTTGGGCCGCCTCGCATCAAATCTCATGTGTGCGCCTAACCTGGCATCACCAACGCACCGCATCCAAGATTCCAATGCGGTCCATCACGCTCTGTACATTATGCACGCCAAGGGTCCAGTCCCGCATCACATGGGCCCACCTCTGTCCGGCCCGCACTCCAAATCCTCAACTCGAGTCCGCCAACCGTGCAAATCGTCCGGCCTGCCTTAGGACGCAAGCCCGCGCAAACGCATCCGAAGACACCACCCGACCCCCGTCTCCCACATGGCGGTGCGTCGACACAAGATAAGTCTGGTCGCGTGTATCATACCCATCTGCGTCATCACCCGCGTCTTCCATGGCCACTTCGAACGTGGAACCGCATACTAATCATATTTCATGCCTCCTAGGCTAAGCTCTCTGTTTGTTCAAAGACTCCACAGCGCTTCCCGCAAAGTCATGAGATAAACGCCGCCCGATAGGCTAAGGGAAAACACGCCTCCCAGAAGGCTGAAAGACAGAATGTCTCTCGATAGACCAGGAAGAAACGCCTCCCGATAGGCTAAAAGTAGACAGGCCTCCCGATAGGCTGAAAAAAGGAGCGCCTCCCGGTAGGCTGAAAATAAGACTTGCCTTCAGTAAACCTGTCTCACTAGGCGCACCTCATACCAGGTGCAACCCCATATCTATGTCAAGAATCGCAACCTCTTTTGCGAACGTGGTCTCACATACAATCACGACCCGCCCGGCCAACGGCACCCACGTAGAGGCCCATTGTGCGGGCACAGCATAACCCTCTCCAAGTCAACAACGTAAACCCCCTCCATCCTCCTGCCCAGCAACAAGCCTTCTATACAAAAAACGAAGTGCCTATGCCAGGATTTGGATGCGAGTCCTAACTCGATAAGATGAACGGCGCTCACCAGTATGCTACAGTGAGGTCTTGTACAAATGATTTGTAGCACTCGGAATTTGACTCTTACCTTTCCTACGGCAAATCACAAAGGTAAATATTTTGTACAAAAATATATCTCAAGTGCCATGCTTCA